TTTAAAACAAAGGATTTTTCCGTAAATAAGAGAATTAGCTGGTTAGATTTATTCTCCGTAACTACGTACCTAAATTTCTCTTTGAATTTGAAACTTGACAAATGTAGATATGTAGCGAAAGATATAGCACAATTTATGTAGTGAACTTACCACAAGTGTTCATCCAATCTATAGGCTCAGTGTATTCTGTAGCTGCAGTAATTGTTCTGTATTGTGCACTTTATTTATAACCCTGTATATTTGTACTGACTGGATGATGGCCGATAAGGTGATGCTGAAATACAGTGACTCCTTACTCCTTAATATGACAACATAGTTAACGTTCTTATTTACCCAACTACAGCTGGAACAAACTTTATTAAACCAATAGCGGATCTACCTTTGCCAATATATGACACGGAGGCAGTGAAATCAACTGGGTCTCAGCTTAATATCTGGAGATTTTCTTTATAAGTAATACTTATTGATTGCTTCTTATCACGATTAATCCTCAAAAGAGAAACTTTGATCCTGCGTTTCGTTTTGTTTTCCCAGAGTCCAGTGAGCCGTCATGTCACCCACGTTTTTAGTTCGATCCCAGTTTCATCGTATGATCACATTAATGTTTTCCGGTTCTGATACTGAGTAACGTAACAATAATGATAAGAAGTCCTTTGTTTATTGCACTTATGCTAGCGGGATCGAGCAAATGCTTGAAGCAAAAAATTAACTGAATCAAACTTAACAGGGTCAAGAACAGTTCCAACTAGTCGGAGGCCCCAAATGACCAAATGGTTCAGTGTACAGTTAACAGCTGTTCCGTACTATTTACAGCTGCTACCCACATACCTTCCTACTCTTCCAGCTTTGTCAATTCTAATACTCTGCATGGATATCTGGGGCAATTCGAGGCAATATCATGAGTGCATTGAAAGGAACAAGCGACACTACAGCTGCTGCTGATGTGTATTTTTGCAGAGAAAATACCCTGCGATTTGAGTCGTCAATTAGACCCTTTTAATATTTTGTATTTGATTCCGAAATTTTTGCCGTAGACCTCTACGTCTGGAGAAAAACAAACGGAAAAATTACCAGTGTCTAAAGCCAGGCATAGGAAGTCCTTGATATTTATGTTTCGAGGTTTTCCCACGATTTACTTCGCAATCATCCTTTTAAATAAGTACAATGCAAATCAGTCCTCCACGCATGTTATTTTGTTGATGAATGGAAATTTTTAGAAGACAATTTTTTCTGAATAGTTCATTGATGAAGTATGTTGTTCTGTAGTAGAGGTCACGAAGATGAACCATTCTGGAGTCATACGATTTTTGCCAGTTTGTTGCTTTGAGTTGTAAGAGGAAGAACTATTTTAACGCTACTTTACTAAATGGCCAAAACTCCATTTCACTCCCACAAGTAAACTCCCATTGTGTTAATTCAGGCCAGCAAAGTAAATTCTCCGTCCGAGAGTATTTTGTGGGTGTTTGGGGGCGGTATAGTACTTGTCTATTGACTGGTAAACTCAACATCGAATTTGTATCTTCCCCATTTAGTTATTCTATAGTAGTGNACGTTCTTATTTACCCAACTACAGCTGGAACAAACTTTATTAAACCAATAGCGGATCTACCTTTGCCAATATATGACACGGAGGCAGTGAAATCAACTGGGTCTCAGCTTAATATCTGGAGATTTTCTTTATAAGTAATACTTATTGATTGCTTCTTATCACGATTAATCCTCAAAAGAGAAACTTTGATCCTGCGTTTCGTTTTGTTTTCCCAGAGTCCAGTGAGCCGTCATGTCACCCACGTTTTTAGTTCGATCCCAGTTTCATCGTATGATCACATTAATGTTTTCCGGTTCTGATACTGAGTAACGTAACAATAATGATAAGAAGTCCTTTGTTTATTGCACTTATGCTAGCGGGATCGAGCAAATGCTTGAAGCAAAAAATTAACTGAATCAAACTTAACAGGGTCAAGAACAGTTCCAACTAGTCGGAGGCCCCAAATGACCAAATGGCTCAGTGTACAGTTAACAGCTGTTCCGTACTATTTACAGCTGCTACCCACATACCTTCCTACTCTTCCAGCTTTGTCAATTCTAATACTCTGCATGGATATCTGGGGCAATATCATGAGTGCATTGAAAGGAACAAGCGACACTACAGCTGCTGATGTGTATTTTTGCAGAGAAAATACCCTGCGATTTGAGTCGTCAATTTGACCCTTTTAATATTTTGTATTTGATTCCGAAATTTTTGCCGTAGACTTCTACGTCTAAAGAAAAACAAACGGAAAAATTACCAGTGTCTAAAGGCAGGCATAGGAAGTCCTTGATATTAGGTTTCGAGGTTTTCCCACGATTTACTTCGCAATCATCCTTTTACATAAGTACAATGCAAATCAGTCCTCCACGCATGTTATTTGTTGATGAAAGGAAATTTTTAGAAGACAATTTTTTCTGAATAGTTCATTGATGAAGTATGTTGTTGTAGACGTCACGAAGATGAACCATTCTCGAGTCATACGATTTTTGCCAGTTTGTTGCTTTGAGTTCTAAGAGGAAGAACTATTTTAACGCTACTTTACTAAATGGCCAAAACTCTATTTCACTCCCACAAGTAAACTCCCATTGTGTTAATTCAGGCTAGCAAAGTAAATTCTCCGTCCGAGAGTATTTTGTGGGTGTTTGGGGGCTGTATAGTACTTGTCTATTGACTGGTAAACTCAACATCGAATTTGTATCTTCCCCATTTAGTTATTCTATAGTAGTGACCAGAAAAAATCGAAAAGATTTTCTAGTTTATGATGAAGGCGACAAAAGCTCCTTTAACTGGCGGAGTTATCATAATGTTGCTAAGATTGAGAGAACGTTTTAGACAGTTTTTCATACAGGAAACCAAATAACCTGTTATTCGGTCATGATGATTTGGAACTAAGCTCAGATTTGAAGCTGCTAACATTGGTCCTTATGGCGGGTTATCAGAAGTTTGTAGTCTTTTAGGAGCATTTACAACTACAAACCTTTGCCATTTCGTCTATAAATAAAGACAAATTAAATGATATCCACAATCAATTCTTTTAAAATTAAAATGTATTTTATATCTCCATGAAATAGAATTTAAAATGACGAGACGCCTTGATATAATGAATATTTACAACAAGATACACAAGACATCGATGGCTGAATTCATACGTATAAACCTCCTCACATCATATCCATAAATAATATTTTACTTGAAATCAGTGCGCAAATTAAATTTGATGAACTGATCGAATACGGTACAATTCATTTGCCTGTTTCTCTCTTATGATATTCTACATCGTTTCTTGGCCGTTTGTGCTGTTTTGCTGGATAGTCTCGAGTTTTGTCATCCAAAACATCCAAAGCTTTCTTCCAACTAATGGTCGACATGTCCTGCTTCTCCAGCCATGAGGCGGACCTCATAACAGAGCCACTATTTCGTGGTTCTGTGTTAATCTTAGGTAGTTTTGTGTGACCACCGGTTTGTCTTCTATGTTCATTAGTGCTTTTGTCTTCGCCGCTGATAGGTGGCAAACTTAAATCACGCTTGTTAGCTTCCTTATGTTCAGATCCATCGCTTACAGAAATATCAGGCAGCTTTAAGACCTGCTGGATTGCGTCGTTTTCTTCATTGTACATAAAATGTCCCGGAATTTCTTTGAGTTCTTCACCGAAGCTATCATTAAGGCTTTTTTCGGTATCCAAGGTTACTTTGCCAAGTTTTCGCCCATGTTTACTGCGCCCTTTACGGGCTCGTGGAGTTTTCATGTTTTATATTCGGTCCAGTTTTAGATAACAATTCCGTTGGCTTTTATAGCAACACTATTTTACCGTACTAAGACAGCTGAACGTGCGTCTTGGTTTTGATACGTATTTATCAACCCGTTAACATATCCATTGTGCTGCTTGGGTCACCGTGTCCACAGTTACAATAAAGAGTTTTCGCTAAAATATCATCAGCAGTTTAAAACACGTCTCTTAATCAAGCCCAACTTTGTAAATGAGAAGTAGACATAACTCCAAAAGAAAAATAAACACCGTAATTTTTGGTACAAATCAACCTTTCTGCTCCGTGGAGTTCTAGTATTCAAACAAACCAACTAGATAAATTCATTAAGCAAAAATAAAAGAGTACCCTCTATTCATTCTGTTACTTCCGTCACGTATTACATCAGTTACTTTCAGAAATAATAGAAGTATACAAGCGAATTATTTAATACCTCTTTTCCTTAAGTTAATCCATTAATCACAATCTGTCGGAAAGCCAATTTCTTTTCCACGTTTTAAATCGTGACAGGTTAATTCCACGTATTTTAAGAGTTCACTATTCATAAAGGGGAATTTAAAATAACTTGATTTTTTACATAAGAAGGAGTAATTTCTATCAAACGTTTTGACGTGTATATTAGAGTTGCTTTACAATGGCTAGAACCGCGATCTGTTTATAAAGGCCTGATCATGAAAAAACCTGCTTTGTCTTTTATTTATTCCGGCCCTCGCTTGAGTGGTAGGCCCGTGCAGAGCTGGATAGATAGGCGCCTATTTGTTATGTCTTGTAGTTGTTTTATTAATTAATATTGTTCGTTTAATACATTGTACGTGTTGGGCCAATAGCACAAAGTATTGAACCCAACAGTGGAGCAATGACCTGCTCCCATCTATACCTATTTGAGTTATTACACAAGACTGTTATTTAATATATAAACTACCATTGGACCTTAATCTTGGTGTTTTCAAAAAGCTCCAATAACTGTTGTTGCTCAAACGTATCCTTTCGGAAATTGACGTAATTTGCGCCAAAAATAGCGCATTTTACTTTGTGCTTGTAGGAGCGGCATCACCCATTCCCTGCCCCAGTTAAACTAGATTAGTACTATTGACTACCACTCAGGGAACAACAACCAGGTCTTGTAATTGTGGATACCTCCAACTGCTTTAGTCCGTCGCACGAACTCGGGACGTTTGCCTTTAATCACATTCCAGTATCAAGTTCATTTAAATGTGTTCAGCCAGTAAGCAAAATTAAAAATGGCAAATCCTGCGGGAAAGAGATAAACTGAATAATCATCAAGAGAAGAAATAAAGGACGTGGTGTAAACACGGCTTTTAAGGTCGGCGATGACCGCTTTAAGTTGGACAATCGGATAGCCTGAAAAAGAGTTACTTTCAAGATCCTCTTTTTCCTGTTGAGAAAAAAAAAACGAAACTCATAAGTCCTGTATTATGATCATAAACAGGAGGATTTTTCCGGACGAAATGAGGTCAAGCGTCGAAAGTAACAAAGGCACAAACGTTCTTGAGGATTTTGAAATCTACCGTTGATTGTTAATTTCTACTAGGGCCATCCCAATAAAATGTTTCGTTTCCCATCGCCCGACCGACCCATTTTTTTCGAAAAGTAAAAAAAAAAAAAAAATTCCATATTAACTACAGTGTAGTCAAAGAAACTAGTCAGAGAAGCAAGTACAACCACACGATCTTGTTTTATTAACAACAATTGGTATGATGTGATGTCCTTGTCTTTAATTAACATCGATACTACGTTTTTTAAAGGCTGTTTAGACATTTGATAGTCAAAAAAGACCACGTTTCGAGTTGACTTTGTAACCAAGGCTTTGCCCGACCGATCGACCCACCATCACAAGAGACAGGGCGATGGGAAACGAAACATTTTATTGGGATGGCCTAGTTCATCAACGTCTCTGAAACTGAAGAGTATAATCAGCCGATAAAACAATGACAACTTATATACCTCCTCAGCTTCCTTGTGTGGTCTCTTCTGCTGCATCTTCTTCATTCGCGAAGATAGTAGTAAGATTATTGAGTACTCCATCAAGGATGCAAACACAAATAAGAAACAGCAAATAAGATATACATCTATCTTTTTTATGTAGTTTACCTTTAAAAAAATGAGAAAAATAGAAATCATACCCTTCAAATCACCTCTGTGCTGAGCAGAAAATTATTCTTACGTTACAAAACTAGTTGTTGTTTGAACACCTGTGTATTATATATGCCTCCAAAAGTACGTAAAGAGGGGGGGGGGAATAGCCAGAATTTCATCCAATTGCTTCGAGTCGTTTTCTCCTCTCAGCAATTGAGGGAGTTAATAATGACTCGAAGTAATCGGATGAAATTCAGGCTAGGGCAAAAGAAAAAATTGTGAAATTTGAAATTCGTGGCCTTGTGTTATTTCAGGGTTTAACATCCAATTTTCAATTATTGGAGCTATAATTATTACTTTAAATTATTATTCTGGATCTAAATGTCTCGATAAAGTAAATATTTTGAAAAACGAGGTCACTTGGGTAGGGTGTCTCTTTAGGGAAAGACAGTATTTACGCATTGACTGAGCCGATACAAGGCGCGGTTACTATACAAGGAGCGGTCACTATTCTGTGCATGGTTTTCTAGTGTTAGAAATATCTAGAAGCACTTTAACCTATAATGGCAGCAAAATTATTCCAAAGAAGACTTTTATATCTCCCAAGCGGAATTTTTTTGTGGCGCTGTTGAATTGTGAGCAGAGTCATACATAAATAATTTAACCAGACGCATATTATAGGCCGGTTGGTTTTGTATGTTGAAGCTCAAGCTAAAGATGGTAGCGAGGACATTCGCCAAGCAATACGTCGTATAGAAATTGGCGTGACGTACCTTGGCGATAGAACTGTTCAGTATGGTCAGGATGGTTACAATTGTCAGTACTGCCGTGACTGCTAGTGTCACGCGAGCTGCTGGTGTATCACGTGGTATAACAAAACCAACCCACGAAATAATGACAACAATCACGGAAGGTCCGTACACATTGTAGATAAAATAACTGTAAATCCTTTCAAAAATGAATGTTGCTGTAACTCCAGTCCAGTTGGCTAAGAAAAGAAACCAAGCCAAGATTAATTTGGATTAATTGTTGCCAAAATTATATAGTTTCGTCTTCAATTGGTTTTTCTCCAAAAATCAAAAGCTGTAAAACACTCTGTTTTATTCAACAAACCTTTGAAATGAAAATTGCGGTGTTCCCCTTTTTTTTCATCTTTTTCCCGGTGTTTAAAAGCAATTGTTCATGTTTGATATGACATTACCATAATGCAAATACGACTTCGCAAGAAACTCGGATTAAAAATGAGGACAGTAAAATTTACTCGCCTGCAACATAAGCCGTAAAGGACTGTGATAACTCCATACCAGTGAGAACGTACTGAGGGTGCATTTGTAGATTACTGGCTACAAACTCCATGCCATTTGATGTCTCCCACTTAAAAGTGATATGAGCGTCGCTGTAGCCATCTAAAATAACAAGATGATAATATTTTATTAACTATCTGTACTGGTTAAACACTCCACTGGGGAACCGAATAGCCCTGCAGTATTTATCATATTCTTTACGGTAAAAGTCCAAAACACCAACAGAAAAATCCCGTTGAAAAATGAATCTGAATAACAAAGCGATGCTCAGTTGCTTGTTAAAGCATTGAACAAGCTGCTCAGTCAATTTTTCTTGAAAAACAATCACTCTTTCTTTAAATGGCAAAAGAAATAGAGAAAACAAATGAACACCTTGTCGGATCGAGGCTCACATCAGAGTTCAGAGTTATGGAAAATATTTGGAAAAGTGTGTCCGTCAGTTAGTGTTCATGTGGTATATACGATAAACCTGACTTACAGCTTTCAATCGTAATAGGACATCTTTGCTTATCCATCGGAAAATCTTCCAAATTCATCGGACAATAAGCTTTAACAGTGATTCTGAAATAACAATAAAATATTGATACTGTTGCTTTGTATAAAAGTGCAAGAGTTAAAGTTAGTCACTGAAATACACATTTAGCACATGTAGCTACCCACAAGTAGCTTATTTTTTTCCGGCGTGTCGCCTTTTCTCGCGTGGGGTGATTTTCACGCCCGCTCGCGTTTCGCTCGCTCTACTATCCCTGAGGAAAAATGGGGGACTACTGGTAGTCTAAGTCTTTCATGTTTACAAGTAGAGAAAACATGAAAAAAGTAACCGGCTTTCGGAATCATGCTTGCAATTCGCGCTGCATTTTCCAAAGCCTCTTAGATATTGTAAGTGAAAAATCCTATCGATTTGTTTTGTGTAAGTTTCGCGGATAAACACCGATTACTAGAAGGAATCATTATCCTTAGGGTAGCAGGCACCTGTTTTCTCGTACCGTGCATTGTATTTTACCAGGCCTCCTGGGGCCAGCATAACCATCACGTTACTACTTGTGACGTCATGCATTTCACCATCTTTGGCGTTTACAAAATAGGAGTCAGGCACCCAAATATAGTTAACCACGTGATTACTGAGGTAAAATGTTTCATTAGTGCCGTGATCAAGCCTCTTGTCCACCCACTGCTGCCTCAAGAACAAATCCAATGTAAAATCCTGAAAGAAAGACACAAACATATTGTTAACCAATGCCATTGGCTTTTAAAAAACCTTCATAGTAACCGCGTAGTCGGAGTTCAAACGGAGTCCTCAGACTTCGTACGGGTCCGTAGCGGTTGCTCATGTTTTATCAGTTACTTCTTCTTAATCAACGCTTGACGATTTGGAATCAGAATTTTTTAACAATCTTTAAATGTGTTTTATATAAACTAATAAGTGCTATTTTATACAAACCATATCCATAACGTTAATGGCGTTGATAGACATCAGAAAAAAACCAACGGTAACAACAACAGGTCCCCCTGGATAAAAGTCAAAAGAAAACAAGTTAAACACGACAGAGGTACGAAAAACAAGATGCAGCTATTCCATTTAGAGCAAGGCGGTACGAAATAGAGAAATCTCGTTCCACAAAGAAATACCACAGAATTGTACATGAGCTACCCGTCGAAGCTTAAGTCTGCCGTTGTCGGCCTTTATATTAAACTAAACTGAGGAAAAAAGAAATAATTCTCGAGGAAAAAGGACCAAAAAAATCGCATTTACATCCGAAAAACTAAACGAAGTTGTAGGTTTTTGTTTTCTGAAGTTGCATCGGTACTGAAAGACATGCCGCGTGGAAAATTGCTCTTACTGCGCATGCCTACCATTATAATCAGGTCTGATCCTGGAGTCATAGTTTTCTTCTTTTAGCAGAAATTTCAGAAGATTTTCAACTTTCTCCCTGTAAAAATAACATCACGTTAAGTAACTTTCACTGCCGCGATAAAGGACAAATTTAGCTGCTGTTTTAGAAAGCTTAGAGAAGACATTCAAAAGAACACTATTATAAACGAGGGGTCTTGAAATCGAATGTACCACGCTCAAATTAAAAATAGTCCAACATCTGTCGGTCAGTTCAGTAACCTGTGAGTCAGTTAGTCTGTGAGTCGGTTATTAGTCTCTCACCTAGAGGGAAGGGTATGATACAGTTGTCGAATGGCACTCGTTAATTCTGAATGTAATTGACTTAGATACTTGCTGTAGATTTAATCACCCGACGCCCATTTCCTTCGAAATCATCTCGGGGCTAGGTTTGTGCAGGAGTCTTTCTGACTGGGATCAGGAATCGAAACCAGAATTTTTAAAATTTCTATTACGAGAATTACAGTCTGATCTGTTTTGGGTGTCTCTGTGACGTAGGTTGACGTAATCTTTCCTAAGGATGTTTTTCTTCCGAACCACACGTAAGCACCACAAAAGTAGAGCGTGGAATAGTTGATCGGTCAACTGGTCGATCGTTCTCTCTGTTTTTCTGCTACTAACAGTATACAGTTATGCCAAGTCGTGGTTGTGCGGAGAAGAAAGCCGGAATGCTTTTCCTTTAAAGTTAACTGAAAATAACCATTGTAAAGTACAGGGCTCTCCTGAAACCTCTGAAAAAACCTCTAACTCAAACAAAGATGGCTTTAGACTGAGTACAACAACTACATGATAAAGACAAAAACGCAATACCTGTCCTGCAGTGAATTTACTCGTTCCGCAAAAAGAAAGAAAAACACTACATGAAGAACACCTTTACAGGTCATGTTACTGACTTGAACTGAATGGTGTACTCTTAGTTGACGAACGTTTTTAAATCGTAATTAAATATTAACAATTTACTTTAGATGGAAGATTCAACAGGCTTTGCACTTAATTAAAATTGCCGCCATAGACTCCTATAATTTTTATCCAGCGAACATTAAAACGCTCTACAAGACACAAAGTCTTTCGGAAAAAGTTATGGATTTGATAAAGTTTGGTAAGTAAAGTACTTCACACTCTTTTTGCGTAAATATTTGTGCGAGTTCACTAAATGTTATTGTCAATTAATTAAAATTGTATGAAAAGCTGAAGAGCTCCCAATAACAAGCACAAGGATTGAGTAAGATAGGGTCACTTACTTACGGCTCATAAATAATCCATGAGCTACTCAGTAATTCATTTCCCTTTGTTGCCGTACAAGTTTTCCCTGGCGATAAAATTGACCCCGCAATCTGATAGCAAAGCTGTTTTAAAAAAAAAACGGAAAACTCACATCCAACAGAAGACGTTTAAAATTCCAACATTATACGTTCTGTTAACCAATCAGTAATCGCAAAGATGATACTAAACCATTAGGCGTATTTTTTTTCTACAACAGAAGATACATTATCTGTATCTTTCAACAACTAACGCTGCACCGAGCTGAAATACATTTGCATTGAGTTTATTTCATTATCAGTTCCTAATAAGCATGAACGTAGATGTAACCATATTATTTATTCATTTCAGTTTTTTTGTTTTACCATGATCATTGCGCCGGTTTTATGTACCGTATATAAAATCCACTCGAGGTTTGTAAATTTCTCTTTCATTTTGAAAACTTTCGCATTGACCCCTGAAATTACCGACATTTCATAACAAATAATAAATCACCTATTCGCTTGTGTTCAGGTAACCAAACACATTTTAGAACTTTTTCGGCCAAGGAACGAATATGGGCTCTCTCTGTACCAACTAACATACTGTATGTGATATCTTTACGCACTAGTGAGCGGCATTAACTCAGACAATTGACGCTCTTCATGCGAACATTTTCGAGTAATCAATTGTAAGTGCCCGAACTTTGTAGGAAATGTGAGGTTACGTTACCTCTGTAGGCCATAGTTTATTTTAATAACCCTACCATCACATCCGCGGCGTTTAGGTATGAAAACAGATGACAAACAAAGGTTTTTGTTACACGTTTTAATTATTTGTTGTTTTTTGGATATATTCACTTGAAAACATAAAAAATAAAATAGGACTATTAAACTGTAAAAAGTAATGATGTTTTGCTTGACTTGAGATATGCAATCCGCTACCACACCACCCCACTCCACTCCCCCACACCGCCACAAAGAAAGCCAACACATAAAACAAATGTAAAAGATAAGTGAGATAAAGCCGAATCTTTTTTCAGAAGACCATAAGCGCAAACACATGAAAAGACCGCTTTTGTATTTGTTCTTACATTTGTACGAGTAGTCTGATAAGAGGTTTACATGCTTACGTCATTAAAAACTTTGGCAAAGCGTGTCACAGCCTTATTTAGCATTTATAACTAGACTGGTCTGCCACAGGCAGCCCAGTAAATAAAAATAATCCCCGTTACTACATCCGTGCTAAGAACAAAAGTACGAAGTTCATTGTAACGACAGCAACTTAACCGCACGATATAGCGGTATCAAATATGGGCACATGAACCTTAATCGCTTCGTTCGTGCTTTGTTTTGAAGCCAAAAAACTTCGCCAGCTTGTTTTTCCTGTACATGACCCAAAATTCACTTTTTATCGCGGAATAACACAGTTAATTGAAAGAGTAAAAATACATAATGAAACTGAAATTATTTAACACTACGGATGTCAGCTTTTCTTGGAAAAGAAGCTTGGAGCTAAAAGTCTTTTGGAAGCGTTAGTAGTTTTTCTGAATGCAGCGTTAGTTCTTTCTGTTTTCTGTAACGGTGAAGAATTGTCCGCACTCTGAGAACATAAACTGTTTTCCGGTACAGTGCAGGGGTGCTGTGGGCTGTGGTTCTCAGGTACTCGGCTTTGTGTAGCTGAGCCTTTTGTATCCACATCATCTTGACGTTCACCCAGATTGCTGTCTTGCTCAGAGTTACCGCTGACCGAATGTTGCTGTGGTATATTCGCACTCTTTTGCGGTTTTGCCGGGGAGGACTGGTGACTTCTCTTGGTAACCTGCAACAAACATTCATATCAGGAGGTCATCGAACTGTTTTGTAGTTTATTAGGGTGGGGTGGGTTAGGGTTATTCCTTTAAATATGGCGGGTGTTTACAAAGGTTATATTGTGTGCTATAATAACCAAATACACCACGGAAATAACCACCACTCGTTTACAAATTCACCTTGGTAGAGCCTACTTTTTATCAAGTTTTCTGTCTTTTCAACTGTTTAGGTTTATCATTTAACTGCGAGGATGACATCCACATTCAGCTGTTTCATGCGCAGTTTAAATTTAAGATATATTTCATAGATCTGACTCACTTCATTTCCATGATCGCTTACGTCATGAGATCACACTTAACCTGATCTCTGGTTGGCTAGATTAGTTCATATATAGCTCACAGGCCCGGGCCTGGGAATCCCAGCTTAGTGCGGAGTAAGCCCCGTATTACGACTGAGTTCTTCGCAGTTATTTTAGCCCTCTTGCTTTTAAGCAAATAAAGTTGTTACCGTGTGTAAACTGTGCAACCACAAGGTTGAACCTATAACTACGATCAACATACCCACATTTACATACAGGAATATTAGAGTGCCTTAATGTTCATCAATGGAGTGCATCATTTTGTTTTAAGAGAATTTTTAAATTCAACAAACCTGAAGAGGAATAAAAGGAACCGCTGACGCACTTAGCATTTGATTCGCGGTATCTTTCCCTGACGCACCAACTGCTCTTGGGCCACCTGCGCTGGGTCGAGATGGGGGTGACTGTTGGTGCATAGTGTGTTGCCTTAGAGACGGGCTAGGTACAAAGCCCCCAAAAGCAGGCGGAGAAACCGGAAAGAAGCCTGGTGCAAAGTGCTGTGGACGCTGTTGCATAGCTAAGTGTTGAGGACTGGGTACGTTAGGCATGATGCGAGGCTGAAATGGAATCAATGTTAGCTTTTTATCTCTCTTTACAGTCAGCTAATGTATTTATTCATATCACGAGTTCATTCTTGGTTCGAGAAATCAGGATATTCTAAATTATGCTGCAAAGTCTGCTACACAAACTTCATCTTCATGCCAAACAGTCCAGTAATTATTTTATCGGCAGGAAATATTACTGACAGCAAATTCTTTCTTACCAGTTGAAAGAGCGCTATAGATGCTGCACTTTCTACAGCCTCATTTTGATCCCGACACAAACTCCCATGAAACTTAAATCCATTGGCCAACTCTACTGTTGCTATCACGCCCTAGAAAAAACGAAGGGAGCAAATCTAAAGTTGTTCAGTTAAGCTTCACGATAGAAGAGAGTAAAATCAATTTAGTCCAGAATAGTTCCATTGATTTACAGCAGTCGTGAAGAATGTAAAATTGGTCACGCATGCGCATGATAACCCACCTGAGATGGTACTGGTGTACCATGGTAGTAGGGTGGGGGTAAACCAACAGATCGGCACCAGTTCAGCAAGGCTACAGACGGCAAGGTCCTACAATAAAGAGAACATGAACAAAAATGAAAAGTTCTCTTCTGGTGAACCTTGGAGAGCCACAAGAAACGAAGAACTTGGAGGCTACATGTTGGGCGAAGGTATTTCAGATTAGTACGACAAAAGCGACCCGCGCGTTATCTGGATTATGTGCCACGACCAAACTAGCTAGTACTGCTAACCTTCCCTCGCTTAAACCCTTGTATCAGCCCTCCCATCTACCGGTGAGGGGCAGATTGGTTAAAAGTTACATGACATATTATAGGCTACTGAAAAGCAACTAAAGAAGTCGCCAGGAGTCTACATGGAGCGTCGCCACCAAACTAACCATCCATCAAAGGCCGCCGGGACGGACAAAAAAACAATCTGTGATCAAAAGAGTGTATTCCTTTAGCTTAACAAACCTCTAAAATCCTTAACAAGCAGTGGAAATATAAGTTCTAATCACGATCAATCTGACTTACCCAACTTGGTAAGGTACGGGCGATAATGCGACAGCTTGAGGAGAAACTGCTTGTGCAGAGCCTTAAACACGATACAAACCACTCCATTAAAAAGATAATTCAAAACATAACACACTTGTTTTGAGCTTTGATAACCAAGATTTAAACTCACTTTGACTGCGAAAAAGTTCATCAACTGACAGATGCCTGGCTCCGCTTCCGCCGCCGCTGCTGCTATGAACTGATGGTTCAGTAGATTTAACTTGTTCCTTTTCTTTCTGTTTTTCTGTTTCAGTAACAACTGGCTTTGCACCAATCTGGAGCAATTCACGGAGAGCTTGCGTCCCGTCCTGAAATGAGTTAACGATGAGTTATTTCCAAACACCTGATCTCAGGAGACTATGTACTTTATTCAGTTTTAAACAAGACGGACAGCAAATAAAACCTGGCCCGAAAGTAACAAAAAGAAACTAACGCTACGTCCACAGGTATACATTTACGTCCGTGAATGGATTTTTAAAAAAAATAGAATTATATATTTAGGCCAACATAGCCAAAATTTGTAAACAGGTAACTGTATCCGTTTCAACTGGGCTCAAATTCGCCAAAATATCCATTTCTGTGAATGCTGACGTCACAGCACATGCTCAAAGTTGTAGTCTCGTTCCCGGGCGACCTCATTTTGAATAATACTTTCGTGTTTATGAATCCGAATGTACGAAAATCGTATCCCTTGACAAACATCTATACGTTTTGGGATAGCATGATTGATTGACAGACCTTGATAAGTGTTTCGCCTGTTTTCTCAGCTGTATTTTCTCCAGGAGAATGCACGCCTTCTGAGTCAGCACCACTGTCAATGGGAGAGTTTTCTTTGAGTTTTAATTCTTTCCACATATCGGCGAATTCACTTGGACCATTCGTAGGTTTTGACACCTGACAGAGTGAAATAAAATAAAATAAAATAAACCCTGAGTCAACTTTCATTGAACTACATTTAGTATCAGTGAGTTCATGACCGTTCATAATTATTTATTAGGGAGCTTAAGCAACTACTACTACGACAACGACGACAACTTCAACAAACAATACAGGTTTAATGATCAAAACAAAAGCTCTGCACGTGCATTACGCTTTTTAGTACATTTCTTTGACGTCCATTGCACGACTACGACGTGAAACCTCGTAATTTGACGTTTTATGGAGGACGTGGACATACGACGACGAATTTTCCTTCCTCTTTTTGAACCTGAGTAAAATCCTTAAGAATTCAATTCCGGGAAAAGTCGCCTGTATTTGACATATTGAGCGGGTCCAAATAGACGCGATTGAGTTTGAAAGAACGCAAATTCATTTTTTAGCGACGTTCTCAGTGCCGTCGTCGTCGTCGTTGCTTAAGGTTCCTATTATCATCTTACCTTTTGAAACCTTGGAGGCGTGGATATCCGCTCATCAATCCTGTTAACAAATAGAGACACCACACAATAATTGACAAATTGCAATAAGTAATCAGTTTCCTTGTTTACCGCGGAATTAACAGAAACACTAGTAACAATCACTGAATAACTAACTGGCCAAGTGACAAGACTCTTTTAATCTTGCAGTGAATAAAGGATAAGAAATTCCTGCTTACGGTCTAAACACCGTAAATGAAAATAACTGACTCACTTTTGTGTTGATCGGTTGTTACTAATCTGCGCTTGGGGGGATCCTCGAGCATGAATTACTGGTGTTCGTTGTTTAGTTTTGCTGTGAGGTGTGTTTGTTCGAGTATTAGCTTGAGAAGGACTAGCAAGAGTATTCATGCCATTGGACAAACCAAAGCCACCACCATATGGACTGTTTGGAGACATACCACGGCCAAAACCCGGCGGCGGGGCGCCTGAAGGAAACAAAACATGGCACAAAGAGACGACGGGTTATAGCCGGTAATGGTATAAATGCAAAGTGGTGAAAAGGTTTTTTCTAAAAAAATCCCGAATTGAAGCGAGCAGACGCACCTGAGGAATTTAACCTGACTTCCGATGAGTTGTGTCTGTTGTTATTTTTGCCACTGAGCTCGGGTGATGCACCCAGACTTGGACTAAAGGGTGCTCTGGTGGGTGGTGTACTTCCACTGCGTCCAGCTTGGTGACTTTTCCCTGTTGACTTCTCTTCGACTTTTTGAGCTTCACAGCGATCACCATAGCTGATGTTAATAAGTGATGACGCTGACATAAGGTATACTTTATTCGACGAACACCTGAGGAAAACAATAACGGTTAATCCTTTCTTTACTATGTACCAATCCTTGTCAACCCACACTGTACCCACTAACCCATACCAAGAATGGTCAATCCATCTATACAATGTACCAATACTAGTCACCCAGTTAATAGCATGTACCAATACTGTTCAACCCACACTGTACCATGTACCAGTGTTGGTCAAACTATAATGTACCCTGTACAGACAGAATATGCTGAATAAACCAACACTGGTCTTACGTTATATTACTCTGGTTATTTAACATTGTTTCATCCTTGTAGTAGCTTTTTATTTGACATTAAGGTTTCAAGTAACACTATTTCATGTCGAAATTAATTATTTTCCCGACAACAACGGAGAGTTTCTTGGTTGAGTTCTTGAGCACTTGTTATTTTAAACACTGCAAAATACAATACCTCAGGGGCTGTCCACCCAGGAACGAGTCATCAAACACAACTTCATACATCACGTCTGATGATTCATCACCTATCAATGCAAACAGTAGAAGATAAGAAATAAGGGTTTTTTTAGTAACTGAAAATTAAATCATTATAACTTACCTCGATGGATGCCTGTGACAGTTCCTCTCAATCCAAACGGAACAGCTGCATTCATCTTAACGTTAACAACTCGGTCAAATAACTCGAAAGATGCATCACTGTCAGGGAGGATGTCTCCTAAATGCTCTGAAGGCTGTAATATATAACAATCATCAGGTCAACTGGTATTTTTTTGGTTTCCAAGAAAACTGCTTAAAATATCGAAATGGGAAACATACTCACCCTAAATAAGAGGTGTGGCCTCACACGAACCTTGACGCTTTTTGGTTTCTGGTTCAGTTCCTGAAAATTATACACACACACACAAACAAACATTTACAGAAAGCAATAAAATTAGAGTAACAGAACAAAGACGGGAGGGAAGAAGGGATATAACATATCCCTGCAAATTAATCAACGTAATCAGTAAGGCGGCATTAGTTGCCTTCGCAAAACAAAAACGAGATAAAGTATCAAAATGTTAGGGTTAATATTGACCTTGGTTTTCTGAATGGCCTGCTCTATAGCTTCCACAACTGGCTCATCTAAGCTGCTGTTTCCACATTTAACTGGTTCTAGACTCAGCGTAGGTACCGTCTTTAACCAGTCCTGGACCTCCGATAAGGACCTAGACAAACAAATCGGTAATTTCACTAAGTTACTTGACTGAATTCTCATAATTACATCACCAAATGAGCAGGAGGAGGAGGCAATGTTTTACATGAAATGTCATCTGGAGACTCTCATTTAAGAGCATTGACAACATTATATCTGTTTTACCAAAGGCTAAGGCAACATGAACTAAAAATAAAATGTCATCTTATCATAAAGTCAAGGGTTCAAAGAAACTCACCCATTTTCACCTGCAACCAAATCGTTTGCGAAGTATTGATCATTTGAGGACATCTTAGCTAGAGACTCAAACAGTTGTGGAAACCTGCAACATAACGAGAAAAATACTCTTTCTATGTAAATGTATACAAATAAAAGTGATACAAATCGTCCTGTAACTAGAAATTCTCGTGAAGGTTTGATGAGAAGAAATCAATAATCAAACACTAGAAAAAAGACGTCGCATCAGCAAGAAAGAAGAGATTACGACTCCACTGAAAAGCTCGTTACTTATTGAAATGTAATACATTACAAAAAACAGTGTACAATTTGAATTTAAATCTATTTTTCTGGATTCATACGACAAAAACTATTACTTTGCTAAATAGTCGGCTATTGTCTTCCGTGCAGTAGGAGAGAATGTCCAACCTCCTTCTTCAGTCCTTCTTGCGTATCCGAGAACCTACGCGAACAGAAATTTAATTCATTTGTTAAATAAAAACAGGCACATGCTCAAACCAAAGTTACGAAGGCCCTCTTTTGGGAGGGGGGGCGGGGTATGTGTCAAATGTTCATTTGAGAACACTTCGTTTCGCGTCCCATGTCCCTGTCAGTATTTTTTTGTTTAGTATTTGCGTTCGTTTAGCCCAAGTCGCAGTCTCAACCCCTCTGTTTCGTTTGTCATCATTTCATCTGTCATACCGCCGTTTTCAGGCCAGTCCGTTGTCGGAATGTTACTCCAAAAGAGCCTCATACACGGTTCTTGGAACAAAATAAGTTATTATATCTTACTTCTTTGTTTTGTTTACTGAACTTCATATTCAACCCAATATCAAGCTTGGCACCACTTCTAGTTGAACTGCAAGATAAACATTGTGTTCGTACAAGTGAGCGCAGTCTATTGCAGGAGACTTTATTAAGGCCTCAAGCCAACGCGACAAGATTGCAACGTCAACTCATGACTTTGTAACTTCGCGATTGCCAGTGCCACAAAGAATGGTATAAAACGACACAAACGCTTGCCTTTTTGATTTTACGACAGAAGAGTTGTTTCATGAGTAAGATAAGTAATGTTTTATGAAATGACCCATATTGCTATGCGAGTGTGGGCGTCGCAGTTGTCCGTTTCGTAATCTTGACCTGTTATTGAGAGTGTTTCTATTAAAAATAAAGAAAATCGCAATGCAGGGTCGAACACGGACCTTTCATACCCTTATCTCTCTCCCTCACCACTACAATAGCATGCCGACCCGCCAAAAATTCGAAAAATGTAAGTACATAAACTAACAAACTGTTTTTCGTTACTGATACATCAATAACAGGTGACCCTAGCCCTTTCCATAAATTTTAACGTAACTTCAACTTGGGCTTCAACGCTGTTCTTTGTAAGACTATTCTCATATTATTTCCTTATTGTAACTTAGTCCAGGGAATATATTACATCTATCACGAATAAAGGCTTGGTTACCAATGGTGGCATCGACCGTCAAAAATAGCAAAGACCGTTTACGGAAGAGAAATAGACCTCGGCGTCGACGCAATAGCTACATATGAACAGCTAGTAAGTTCTGCACTGTATCATTGAACATATGTAACATGTGTACTCACTCTTTACTGGAACCCTGTTGTATAAGGAGGCTGCCAGTTACTCTTGATAACAAATTGGGAGTGATACCAAGCTTCTTGGCGACAATGTGTGCAGGAAGATAATTTAACGACAAGCCCTGATAGAACAAAAAGGTCATCGGTCAATACAGAATATTAATAACTGTATAAACCACGTATTCATGGAACAACTAACTCGTCTAACAATGGTATTATATAGTCTGAAGCTGGCGATTTAAGTAACATTTCCAGTTCCACACGGACACTGAACTATCATCAGTACCTGGTGTTGGTCAGTGATAGACATGAAGTCCGGTTCCACAGGGACACTAAGCTAACTTCAGTACCTGATGTTGGTCACGGATAGACATTATGTCCGGTTCCACAGGGAAACTAAGCTAACTTCAATACCTGATGTTGGTCAATGATAGACATTATGTCTGGTTCCACAGGGACACTAAGTTGCACTCTGACACGTGACTGCTTTACGTCAACCTCTATCACTTCTCCTGAAGCACCATAATACGGTGAAGCTAACATGAAGCACTGACATCCAACAGGAAAGAGTTCTTCAACAGTGTGAATTTTATCATCCTCGTGTGTCTCATGTACATGGATATCCTTTAAAACAAACAAGAAAAACAAAGGCCACATTTGTCAAATTCTCTATAATACGAAACTCCTGCAAAGCCCAGCCACAGGTTTAAAAGTCTAAGTTTGCGTTGTAAACTGTACTTCCTATGAATATCCGGGCTTCTTCTGTTGGAAACGTTGCTCTTTTTGATGCCATATTTGCGGCTTTTTGCCGTAACAGTCAAGTGAACACGAAAGAAAACACTCAGGAATAAAAATTGTATAAAACCTTTGTCTCTTACTCTATGTACTAAATAAAGTTAGGGTAGCAGGACAGAAGCCTGAAATTTGATCTTCTCAGAAAACAGAAATATAAACACCTTCTCTGGGTCAAGTCAACTGCTGACACTAAATGGAACCTTTCATAACATTTACTTGAAATTACAACTCTTAAAAGCTACACTTTGCTTCTTCCGTTATACCCATTGATGCATTGTTATTTTTATTTAATACATTCCTTTTTGTAAGCAGTGTGGACAGTCGAACACTTGTTAACAATGTAAAAGATTACGTAGAAGAAGATAGAGAAATAAAATCATTACTCTTTCGATGCAACTAGAATGATATATCAGACATTTTTTAGTTATAGAGGAAGTACCCGCAAAAGAAGGGAAAAGAATTACCTTGACTGTCAGTTGGTGAGGATAAGATATTGGATTTGGTGTCCATTCTTTTTCCATGGTAACCAGACCTTTGGCTCCACATACATATCTACAAACACAGAAACAAATCAATAGTGTATTTATACCTCGGGGTTATGTAATGAAAATCGTTTCTTGAAAACAAGCAAACGAACAAGCCTCAAAGGGAGATACATATTGCAAATGTTTGTACAATGCGGCTTATAAGTACATTTTTATTTGTGTCAGTTTTCCTAATAAGACCTTTAATTTACTGTATAACAGTCATCAGACTTTTGTCTCATCAGTTATGGCTATTACTTAAGGAAGTTCTTAAAAACTATAGGCTTTAATAAAGCAACGATCGATGATACTTGACTACGATAACATGATATCAGCGCTAATTTTCCTTTTACACTGTAAAGTATTTTATAACATAACAAAAGAAAACAAGAAGGAAAACAAAAGGCAATTTTAGGTATACATCTAAACAGTCACTTACAGGGTTCATGGAATAGTGTACACCAAATTACTTCTCAAAAGTAAAAGCAACTTCAATAATATATTGCTAACCGTTTTCCTCTGATGGGACAAGCGTCAACGATGACTCTGGTTTCTCCAATCTCTATTCCTCTTCTCTCCAAGTGCCTGACAAAAAATAAATAAATAAATAAATAATAATAATAATAATTAATTACTTATATTGCGCCTTTTAACATGCAGTAATCAAAGGCGGTTATGTAGTACTTAAGATTTTTGGAATATTTTAAAAATTTCTTTATTTTAAATTTTTATGACTCTTAATTTTCGATCAAAATTTTCTATACAAAATTCATTCTTAATTTTGACAACTTGACAGAAACTAACCCTTAACAAGGTGGGTAATGCATTCGTCAACGTGGGAGCAGCAACAGAAAAAGCTCTGTCTCAGAAAGATGTCAACATCTTCCCAAGAGGGAAATCTAGTAGTAATGCATCATATGATCGCAACTGATGGGCAGATTGATTCCTTACTGAAATCAAATTACTTATATACTAGGGTGACTGACTAAGCAAAGATTTACAAAGGATTAAAAGAAATACAAAATCTCACTGGCAGCCACTGAAGTTCTTGGTGTACAGGGTAACATGGCTTAACTTTAATAGAAGAAAAGGTAACAAGCCTAGCTGCAGCGTTCTGGACTCTTTGAAACAAAGGATATACGTACAAAGGAGGAGGCTTTTGACAACACAATACTTACGTTTCTGCCATGGTCTTGACTTGATGTCTAAAACTTTTAACTTGCACCTCTGTCAATACCTCCTCTTTTATTTCCTTTGTGGAATTTTGTGAAGTCTTCTTTTGTAAAGAGTATCTGTTAAACAAAAATATTGAGCTGGATTCTGTAATTGTGAACATACTTTGTCTCTCTTCAGCCAATAGCCCCAGATCTGGGTAGTGATTCTGGCTGGTTGACACATACAGATAACCAAATAAACAAAGACATTAATATTTACAATGGCCAAAAGGACATATTTCACCTTTTGGTTCCGTCACAAACACCCATGACCAGTGCTTCAACCATGTGAGGCCAGCCAACATAACATGTTTCACCGAGCAGATGCTCCGCTATTTCTTCTGATGAAACCTGATACAACAAACGATAACATTCATTGATGGAACATGATGCTCAAGACCTTGAAGAATGTTTGTTAAATACTAATGACAAGCATTAACAAAATTTTATATTTCTATCGAAGTATTAAACACAAGAAGGTGATCATTTCAAACGTTAAATTTCATGAGGACAGGAAGAGCAAGACAAACCAAAGACAAAGAAACTGTACAGTTGAAAAAGTACTGTACTATACTCAGGGCCAAACTAAGGACACCCAGTAATTCTATTGCCGAAAATTGTATAATAAACAAAACCAGCTCACCTCTTGCTGTGATGGAGTGATCTGAAGAATCATACTTTTGCCTTTGCTATGCATCTGAAATACCTTTACATTTGCCTTCCTGAGCTCTGCCTGAATCACAAACAGCAAATGAGTTACTACAACATTATTAATGACAGTGTAAATACAAGTTACAAGACACTGCTGGCTTAACCCATTGAAGCAACTTGTGACGTCAGAGAACATTACTTATGGTGTAAATACACGTTACAAGGCACCGCTGGCTTAACCCATTGAAACAACTTGTGATGTCAGCGTCTCCTAATTTGAAAGAGGACTATGATACCCAACTTGTTCATGATGAGAAAGTGTATCCTGAAAGTAAACCTAATCTTAATGATAAACCAATAACCAAGTTTAAGTTTTTCCAAAAAAGAAAACGCATTAGTACCTTATGAGCCACATGGTACATGGTTGGAAATCCAGGGTAAAACACATCAAGTTTGACTCCCTCACAAAGACCTGCAAGAAAAAAATAATAATATATTGCACTCATTGTAAATGGTATTGGACACTTCTACCTGTCAGGAATGGACTAAACAGGTGTCTTAATACGAAAGGAATGAGCTAAATTTAAATTCAGCTTCAAATCATCCAGCTTTCTCACTGAAGATTGAACCAGCTGATTTCTGTTTAAAACGGCAGTAACTTGGGTCATCTAGTTTAATTACAACCCTATCAAAGCAATTTGATTTCAAACATAGCCCAGAATTTTATTGTAGATGGACACACCTCTACACATGTGCTTTAAATCCACATGAAAGATGTCTTTGTCAAGAACCTCACACCTAACAAACAGAAAACATGTTTACAACATAGCAGCCAATACCTTTACTGCATAGTCTTAAATCTAACATACTTTTCATAAAAAGCTAGCACTCTATTGTTGAATAACCCCCTAGTATCATTTTTTCATTTAGTTCTTTCAACCTTTCAGCTGATATAGCTTGTGTGTGCGCACAGCACAATTCAATAATGCACATTTACTTTATTTACTTATTTAATTGATAAGACCTGTATGCATTAAGTCATAATTTAATGGATTGCACTTAATTTGCTTTTTTTCATAACTTATATGCCTTCCAGTAACTCTGCTTGCATTGTGGGTGGCTCCTCCTAAAATGTTCTACAACATTGGTATAGAATTTAATAGATCTCAGACCAATTGTAGAATGGCAGTTAAGGCATCCTACTGATGAACAAATACTACATGTAGATATTTCCAGCGATAACAATTTGCTGTCTGTCCCCTTCAAAGTTATTAATAATACTCAAAACCGTAGTGTGTCACTGTGTTTATGTCACAAGAACTCATACCTAGCATGGCAGCAGGAAAGATCAGGAAACTTTCCAGGCAGTGATGATGATACAGGGAAGTTTAGGGTTGAATCATAAGTGTACAATAAACAAGGGCCATGTTTATTACGATTCAACTCCTCCTCTGTTAATCTTGAATACAGAGGTGACATGGCATTAAGTAGCTTTTGCTGAGAAGAAAAAAAACGTAATACCACTTTGTCACACATAACTATTGTGAACACAAAACTATGCTTGACTTAAATAAACCATACCCCCCCCCCCCCCCACCCCCCCCCCACCCCGTCAGGTATTAATGAACAAATCAAAACACACACATGTATAAGGGAAAACAGTTAAAATGCAAAAATGCATTAGACTTCTTTAAAACAAATGAAAAAAGTACATCACATACATGGTGTTAACACAACCTTAGATAACAACCATGCATTGACAACCAGGACAAAAAATTCAATGTACTGAGACATTAATCATGTTAAGCCTAAGTGTTGGCGGTGTAATGCATATTTAACACTAGTCTAACGTAACCATTTGGTTGGAGTAGTTACTTCCCTTAGTTGTGTTGTCGAAGGGTGAGAACAACAAATGGTAAGTTCAGACAGAACTTTAAGTGGCCTATCATGAGATATTAGAGACTGACAAGGTACTACATCAAGTTCTGTTAAAAAATTGACCATAACCAGACAGTTTACTTTTTGCACTGTACCCCTGTTATTACAAACACTCAAACAAAACCAGGGCTAAAAACACATAGGGATGGTAAATGGACAACCGCTGGTCAAAGGTTATTGGCTGGTTAAATTCCTTTAATTTCTTTGGTCATGTCTGATTATTGTTTGTCAAATGTGAAAACTGTACAGCAGGGCACTGCGAAAGAGATAACAAACTAACTGTTATTCATCAATATTTGCAACCCATTCTTCTCCATATTTCCCTTTCTCAAGACTCAACTTTCTCTATTTTTTGCAAGGCATCAGGCTTCAAACCTGTCTTCTCACCACCACCTTGCGTGCCAGTTTGATCACACGGTACAAGAACTGTCTTCTAACCACTATTGCGTACAACAGTTTGTACATGCCATAATATCTTTGTCTTATAATCTTCTCTCTCTTCTAAAAATCGGTCGAGTTGCACTATTAGTCCATACTGTACTGCTACTGTAGTAACGGTCTTGGGTATCTTACTTAATTGTGTGTAAGTACGTTTCTTTTCCTATATCGTTCTGTTGTCATCGCTTCTATATGCATAAGGCTTTATAATGCTTTCCGTGTGTTATTTTATCTGAACTATCATTAGTCCTATCATGATTTTCCCAGCTCTAACTAAGAAGTTTTAAATCTAGGCACATGATAATTAATTTGCACTCTGTAAGCATGTCCTTTCCTCTTTCATTTGTTGACTGTGCATTCATCAAGTATGATTTCTTGTTATTACTTTACAATATTCTACCAGCCAAAATATGTTGTTCCAGGCATAAACCATGGAGACACACAGTTAACTGTTCTAAAGCAGTTGTATATGAAATAGAAGTGGAGTGCTTTTGACCAACTAAACTGTACACACACAGTATGTTTTCTACCTCTGTAAAGTCAAGTATAAAAAAAAAACATAAAATCATTTGTATGAATGAAAAAGCACCTGGAATGGTTTTGGCAAGAGTTGTCGGCTGGCAGCAGGTAATACAGCAAGAAGCTGTTCAAATGGAAGGAAGGGAGTGCACAACTCAAACTGGATCAACATTTCACCAAAGTTCCTTATGTCAGACATGTAGGGAGCATAATGAAAAGGATAAAACCTAAAATTCAAAGATACAAAGAGTAAGTTGACTAACATATTGATCTCAGACAGATGATGACTTATTAAACCTACATTTAGAGTACTTTTAAAGTTATTTTTCATTGTTTAAAAGGGACTTCTATGATTTTCTTTCAAATTGTGTAAGTCGACATCTCACTTCTAGCCGAACTTGTTGACCAGTAGTAATTTCATGTTAGATGTAAATTTAGATATTTCTGCATAGCTGTAGATTTAGCGAGTTTGTAACTACGAAATGCATCATGCGTACATTAATTGTCTAGAGGATGATAATAAACTATGCTAACCAGAAAATGGGTTGTGAAATACACGATTTCAATACATGTTAATAAAAAAACATTATTACCAACTCCAAGAGGGTACTCCACTGAAATAGTACAATAAAATCCACTGGATTCCCTTAACATACTGGAATGTCTGCTCTGCTAGCTCATCTCTGAAATAAGAATCATGGTACAGTTATAGCAGGGTGTATAACAGACTGCTTCACCTTATTAATGCAAATAGCCCTCCAAATGAGATGAAGATACACACACAGGGGTAGCCAGCAGGTTTGAATAGAGTAACCAACTGTATTAACAAAAGGTGGGTAGATCCCTTTTTCTAGGGGGTCAGTGGAGTGTTCCCCCAGAAAATTTAGAAATTTCGAAGCCCTAAAAAGTGATTTTCAGCTTTGTGGATACTAAATTGAGTACAAAAGATAATCTTATTTTTTTACAATTTTACTGATCAGTAATACACTAATGTATTGGCAGTTTGCATGTTAATACATTTCCTGGAAATCAATGAATAAGAACAGAATAACCAAGAGTAGTTAACATTGCACTTTATGCAAAATGTGAGCAACTAAGGTCAATTAATGCCAATTAATTAATTAATGCCTAATTCCCTTTAGTTTTATGACTGTTCTAATTTAAGTTTTGACAGAATATTTCTTCAATTCAATAATCATGTCCTGCTTCAATAAGGGGGAATAAAGTAGCCAACTTCTCTGAGCAAAGTACCTGAAGCATTGCATTGGTCATCGGTGCTTATTGACACCCCTACACAGTATACATGTGGATGCCAGTATCCCTGTCTACAAAATGAAATAAGTTTCAATGTAAAATATCACAGAGTTTACCTGGTGACTTGGTCATATCCCATCTTTTCCATGTAATAGTCTCTTTTATGCATTGCAAATTCAGTCTCAAAAACATCCTCTTCTTCATCGCTCAACTCGTCATCAAATTTTCTTGCCAGCTTTTCAAGTTCAGGGTTCATTTTCCTGTCTGGTTTTTTTGCTTTCACAGTATCTCCAGGCATTAACTCCAATGCAGCAAAACTGTTGTTTAAAGTCAGCAAAGAATCGTCTTCCTTTGTAAGACATACGAGGGAATAACACAACATAGCTAAGTGAGATGTATGACTTACTTCCATTAGGCAGAGCACTTGAGCAGAATACTCCATACTTACCTCTGACTCCACTGGATTGTTTCCAAGTGTAAAAACTTTCTTACTTTCAAACCATTTCATATCAACAAACTTCTCTTCAAACTGATCTCTGTCAAACTGTGGGAGAAAAAGGCTTAAATTTGCCCTCTTACCAACATAATATTCAAAATCTTTAAATTATCATGCAGATGACAAATAAGACTGTTTGGTAAAACTATTCTTTAAACAAGGCTTTATAAAAAAATAGATTTCCTTTAACTTTCCTGGCATCGACACATCCTGAACAGTCTCACAACTATAGCTACAGAAAGTACATGTGGATTCAGATATTACAGAAAAACGACCCTGAAGACAAGCCACTATCATTACAACTTGAAAACTCTACCTTAGATAAAGCAACCAGGTACTTCTCAAATCTGGTTAATATGAGTCTTCCACCGTCATGAAGATAACCTTTGAAACAATTTGAGATAAAATTGTTATTTAAAATCAGTGCCGACTTTATCACTTTGCTAAACAAGGAGGTAAACGAAAAAAAAAAGAATGCACACAAAATTTCATGCCTGACTAATTCTCAATGAGGTGGTCATAGCATTAAATTTGCAACAGCGCACTTTTGAAAACTACAGTTTTTCATTGCAATGTTCTTCCATTTTAAGACTTTCACAATTGATAAAAATGAACTACCAGTCATAATTAGTACATGTACATGTATAGCTAATGCTGTAAAACAAATTACAGAATACTGTATAGTTACCATCTTGAGAAGGCATAACTTCAATGTAAACTTTGTACAAGTATGGCAAGGCATCCTGGTGGGTCATAAAATACTGACATGTGAAAGAGGTTTCTATGAACTAATTGCAGGTAAAATACGGCTGTTATCTGTATTTGTATCGCATCAATTTACTCCAAAAAGGTGATTACCAACTCTCTTAAACTAGTGATAAGGTTTGAAATGTGTCGAAAAAAGTTTTAAAAAAAACTACAACCAACAAATTGATTACAAAACTAATTACAACAGCATAATTCATCAATCAAAAACAAACAATAACTTAGGTGTTGGGTTTCAAATTTTGGATTCTAATTACAGCTAGATTATTACCAATCAAAGAATGAATCAAGGTGACATAATTATAGTTCTATTAACTGTTATATTTGTATTATCTACCAATTATTTTGCAAAGGTATTTTCATATTCTTTACTTACATGGTTAATATGGAGGTTTGGCAAATGTGGGATAAAATCATTCCCAACCAGAAAACCCATAAGAATCCAATCATCTATGATCCTCTCAAGCTCATAGGCAAAGGGTAATTTGCTCTGTTAAAAAAATAACATCAATACTATTTAATAGACTTACTGATCATATCATTACAAAAAAAGTACAATACAGTTATTATTTATAATAATTATGGCTGGCTTTGAAAGGGAGTAAGATGAAGAAAATCCTGTGTTCTGATTGGCTAACCATGCAGGCCAAATGAGCCTCAGGGCTGCCACTAAGATTTCAAGTTGCCAGGTGTATGCAATTACTCAGCAGGGAATGGAAGAACAGGCAGGAAGTCATTTTGGTTCCATTTTCCTTTTTGTTGTTTATAGCCCCCCCCCCCCTTCCCCAGCTCTTAGGGACAGCCCTGGGCCTATCTTGCCCCAGCCCCCTTTTAAGATTGCCTATTGTGTTTCTACAATCCACTTTCTAAGGCTATAAACTGAGAACTGGTGCGAACTGCAACAATTTAAAGGGACAATTACTTCTATGGTGATGGGGTGTTTTAAAACCTACCAATGGACAAGGACAAAACTGACTGAGTGTAGAGCACGCATACACATAAATAAGTGCCACATGTGTGATTTCTATAGAGAATCTGATATACTTGATGTAGAGCTGGCCTGGAGTTTCTAATGAGTACCTTTAATTCACTGAATTCCCAGTCTATGTATTCTCTGAACAGTGACAAGTGAAGAAGATGAAATGTAGTCTTTTCAGGTTTTGCTATTCTGTAAGTAATTGATACAAACACAACAATAATAATTATGGGAAGTACAAACTTAACAAACTTTCCTTCTGAAGAGCAGGGACAGTGCCATAGTGATGAGAGCAGTCACCTCCTAACAATGTGGTCTGGGTTCAAATCCAAGTTTGATACCATATTATTGGCCTTCTCTTTCCTGACTCCTCACCGCTAGGGACATCTCACTCCTCACCGTTAGGGACATTTCAAGGCAGATTGTGCCCAAAAAATTTCATACAAGTCACATATATCAATGTTTGCATAATAGTAATCTGGTAATCATGGGGTTCAAGATTTGTTTGAGTTCATTCTTTAATAGCTAAAAGAATCAAATAAGTCCTAGTATATATGTGTCAACCAATGAGCTCTTGCTGACAAGAGTCCAGACAAATTTACATCATCAGCATGGAATTTTGGGGGCCAAATCGTACACATCTCTCTTATGAAACGTCCCTGGCAGCAAGGAACAAGAAAAGAAAACTGTATCTGCAGGCTAGCGCCATCTATGAGTTGTTTCTTATTGGTTCTTTTCCTTGATGCAAGAGGTTTTTCTCCAAGTACTCTAGTTTGTCATCTTAAAAACCAGCATGGTTAAATTCCAATTTTCTCTGGAATGGGTGTTTGAATAACTTTCTTCTCCGCAAAATTAACCTTTTTGCTGCTTTTCCAAATCTCACTTCTTCACGAAGCAGGGAAAAGTGGGGTTCATGTGTTGATAGTCCAAGCATAATCTACAAAGCAGAAACAAAAAGTACATTGTAATATTGAGTGTTCTTAAGAAAGTACCTTTTTAGTTACATGTAAACCAACACTTATCCCAGCATCAAAACATGCTCTTAAAAAAGGCCCTTGGGGAGTACATAATGGTTGAACATCTATTATGATTTTCAGCCAATTGCCCAGGTACCTGTAATGATTAATATCCTGTTACTTTTTTCCAGAACAGTCAAAATTAATAACTGATACCAAAAAGGAAAAGTTAACAAAAATAGTTTTCACAAAATTAATGAGTTTCAAGCAAACCAATCTCTTGTCTAACTTCCTACGGAAAATTACAGAGAGGTACACCTAAAGAAACTAACAAAAAGAATTCATGTTCCATCCCAAAAAGGTGTCTTCCTTAAAACCCAAGCAAGTCAGTTTTAATTCTAGATCTGTTTTCTGTTCCAGTACCCTCATTTTCCAGTTGAAGGCAGTCTCTTTTTGTCACAAATGAAAACAGGATATGGTTTCCCAAAAAACTGTGGTGCTGTGTTGATAAAGGAGTAATTGACAGTTGCAAACACCAGTTATTTTATTTATTTATTTATTTTTTTGGTCACAGACTGGTTTCTTCTACGTTTTTGTCTCAAAGAGGTCAGAACATTGGATACTTGTACTTGACGATGCATGACTACGACTTTTGGATATGAATTGATGTTGTCATAATCACCAGAAGTTGATCACTTACCAGGTCAGCATCTAATCCATACAAACAGTGTCTGGTATTGGGATCATAGTCAACTCTCACTTTTTCTGATCTGATAAACTCCATAATCTTATGCTCTCCTTCACCTGGTGTCTGAAAATATGTTAGAAATAAAGATAGAATCTTAATGCCAACAGGCATACAGAAAACTCTCACTGTTATCTGATGAAAAAGAAGTGCTTATTCAAAACAGTCAAGAACTTCTTTACTCATTGTCAATATTCTTTTATAAATTTTAAGTTGGATTAAACAGTGATGTTTTAAGGAGGTCTAGGATGTTGATAGTCAATTTTTGCAGACTATCAACTATTACCTGTTAGGACTATTACAGGTGTATCTGTTTCAAATCAAAACACACACTCAAAGTACAGTAAATGTAGGTGGCGATTTCAGATTATTCTAATAAGTATTCAATTGATAACCAGGGCAAAGTAACTGAGAGGTGGTTCACAACAGAATGTTTAGCACCTGTGGATGTTAGGACTTGTTGAAAGCTATGGAATCTGTAATGAATTCAATATCCTGCTTATGCAAAAATTCACCATGACTACACATACCTCATGTCCAGACAGGTAGATTCTTAATCCTTGCCAAGCAGGGTCAGTGGAGATCTTGTAGTTAACAAAAAATTTTAACTGCTCATGAAGTCTCACCATGAATGGAGTACCTAACAGGAAATAAAAATAAAACCTTGCCTCACTTCACAAACACAAGCAGCAAATTATAACTGCTGATTACCGTAACAGTTGTGATTTCAGTCATTTGTGTCACAAATTAACCGTTTCATTACAAGGTCAAACGCCTGTTTGCCATGTACTGCCAGAAAATATTATGGGAAAAAAGTAGTTCTCCTGTCAAACATATACACACACAGGCTAAATACAATCATATCATTACAAAAAAAGTACAATACAGTTATTATTTATAATAATTATGGCTGGCTTTGAAAGGGAGTAAGATGAAGAAAATCCTGTGTTCTGATTGGCTAACCATGCAGGCCAAATGAGCCTCAGGGTTGTCACTAAGATTTCAAGTTGCCGGGTGTATGCAATTACTCAGCAGCGAATGGAAGAACAGATAGGAAATCATTTTGGTTCCATTTTCCTTTTGTTGTTTATAGCCCCCACCCCCTCAGCACTTAGGGACAGCCCTGGGCCTATCTTGCCCCAGCCCCCTTTTCAGATTGCCTTTTGTGTTTCTACAATCCACTTTATAAGGCTATAAACTGAGAACTGGTGCAAACTGCAACAATTTAAAGGGACAATTACTTCTATGGTGATGGGGTGTTTTAAAACCTACCAATGGACAAGGACAAAACTGACTGAGTGTAGAGCACGCATACACATAAATAAGTGCCACATGTATGATTTCTATAGAGAATCTGATATACTTGATGTAGAGCTGGCCTGGAGTTTTTAATGAGTACCTTTAATTCACTGAATTCCCAGTCTATGTATTCTCTGAACAGTGACAAGTGAAGAAGATGAAATGTAGTCTTTTCAGGTTTTGTTACTCTGTAAGTGATTGATACAAACACAACAATAATAATTATGGGAAGTAAAGACTTAACAAACTTTCCCTCTGAGGAGCAGGGACAGTGCCATAGCGATGAGAGCAGTCACCTCCTAACAATGTGGTCTGGGTTCAAATCCAAGTTTGATGCCATATTACTGGCCTGCTCTTTCCTCACTCCTCACCGCTAGGGACATTTCAAGGAGGATTGTGCGCAAAAAAATTCATACTGGTTATGTATATCAATGTTTGCATAATAGTAATCTGGTAATCATGGGGTTCAAGATTTGTTTGAGTTCATTCTTTAATAGCTAAAAGAATCAAATAAGTCGTAGTATATATATGTCAACCAATGAGCTCTTGCTGACAAGAGTCCAGACAAATTTACGTCATCAGCGTGGAATTTTGGGGGCCAAATCACAGACGTCTATCCAACGAAACGTCCCTGGCAGCAAGGAACAAGAAAAGAAAACTGTATTGGCAGGTTAGCGCCATCTATGAGTTGTTTGTTATTTGTTCTTTTCCTTGATGCAAGAGGTTTTTCTCCTAGTGCTCTACTTTGTCATCTTAAAAACCAACATGTTTAAATTCCAATTTGCTCTGGAATGAGTGTTTGAATAACTTTCTTCTCTGCACAAATTAACCTTTTTGCTGCTTTTCCAAATCTCACTTCCTCACGAAGCAGGGAAAAGTGGGGTTCATGTGTTGATAGTCCAAGCATAATCTACAAAGCAAAAACAAAAAGTACATTGTAATATTGAGTGTTGTTAAGAAAGTATCTTTTTAGTTACATGTAAACCAACACTTATCCCGGCATCAAAACATGCTCTTAGAAAATGGCACTTGGGGAATACATAATGGTTGAACATCTGTTATGATTTTCAGGCAATTGCTGAGGTACCTGTAACATTTGATTAATATCATGTTACTTTTTTCCAGAACAGTGAAAATTAATAAATGACGCCAAATAGGAAAAGTTAACAAAAATAATTTTCACAAAATTAATGAGTTTCAAGCAAACCAATCTCTTGTCTAATTTCCTAAGGGAAATTACAGAGAGATAAAGAAACTAACAAAAATAATTCATGTTCCATCCCAAAAAGGTGTTTTCCTTAAAACCCAAGCAAGTCAGTTTTAATTCTAGATCTGTTTTCTGTTCCAGTTCCCTCATTTTCCAGTTAAAGGCAGTCTCTTTTTGTCACAAAGGAAAACAGGATATGGTTTCCCAAAAAACTGTGGTGCTGTGTTGATAATGGAGTAATTGACAGTTGCAAACACCAGTTATTTTTTATTTTTTTTGGTCACAGACTGGTTTCTTCTCTGTTTTTGTCTCAAAGAGGTCAGAACATTGGATACTTGTACTTGACGATGCATGACTATGACTTTTGGATATGAATTGATGTTGTCATAATCACGATCAGTTGATGACTTACCAGGTCAGCATCTAATCCATACAAACAGTGTCTGGTATTGGGATCATAGTCAACTTTCACTTTTTCTGATCTGATAAACTCCATAATCTTATGCTCTCCTTCACCTGGTGTCTGAAAATATTTAGAAATAAAGATAGAATCCTAATACCAACAGGCATACAGAAAACTCTACACTGTTATTTGATTAAAAAGAAGTGCTTATTCAAAACAGTCAAGAACTTCAGCTTTACTCATTGTCAAGATTCTTTTATAAATTTTAGGTTGGATTAAACAGTGATGTTTTAAGGAGGTCTAGGATGTTGATAGTCAATTTTTGCAGACTACCAACTGTTACCTGTTAGGACTATTACAGGTGTATCTGTTTCAAATCAACACACACACTCAAAGTACAGTACATGTAGGTGGCGATTTCAGATTATTCTAATAAGTATTCAGTTGATAACCAGGGCAAAGTGACTGAGAGGTGGTTCACAACAGAATGTTTAGCACCTGTGGATGTTAGGACTTGTTGAAAGCTATGGAATCTGTAATGAATTCAATATCCTGCTTATGCAATAATTCATCATGACTACACATACCTCATGTCCAGACAGGTAGATTCTTAATCCTTGCCAAGAAGGGTCAGTGGAGATCTTGTAGTTAACAAAAAATTTTAACTGCTCATGAAGTCTCACCATGAATGGAGTACCTAACAGGAAATAAAAATAAAACTTTGCCTCACTTCACAAACACAAGCAGCAAATTATAACTGCTGATTACCATAACAGTTGTGGTTTCAGTCATTTGTGTCACAAATTAACCGTTTCATTACAAGGTCAAACGCCTGTTTGCCATGTACTGCCAGAAAATATTATGGGAAAAAAGTAGTTCTCCTGTCAAACATATACACACACAGGCTAAATACATTTCAGTCATTTGTGTCACAAATTAACCGTTTCATTACAAGGTCAAACGCCTGTTTGCCATGTACTGCCAGAAAATATTATGGGAAAAAAGTAGTTCTCCTGTCAAACATATACACACACAGGCTAAATACAGTGACACAATGATGTACATGTACATGTCCATACCCGGAGTAATACAATTGGAATCAAATCTCTCCTCTTCTGGGAGAACCTGTCCTTTCGCCAAAGCTTTGCGAATGTTATCTTCTGCTTCTTTAGCAGACCTTGAAAGAAAAACAAACACAAGCAGTACAAAACGTTTGACAACTTCCAGAATATAATGTCATATCCACAACACTGGTAACAGCATCACAACATATTGGCTTTAATCATAACAAAATACTACATCAACAATACACAACATTTAGTTTATCTTCTTGTATTGGTATCTGGATAATAACAAAGGAAGAAAACAATATTACTACAACAAATTACCGAAAACGTCTCCCTCTTTGTTGATTCATTTTTGCACGAGGAGCTACACCATCGACAGCCATAAAAAACACTTTCTTGGGTTTAATAATACGGAACAGCACCTTATGTGGAAAGAATATAAAGCAAAAGCAGGAGAACAAAATTAATACATGAAAGAAAAAATAAAAGAGTTGTAAGTGCAATGATAATTATGTGCAGAGAGAAGAACTCAGAAAATAAGGGTTCCACAATGGGATTGAACCCAAGACCTTCCAGAGTCCAAACACAAGTCAGATGCTCTGACTATTGAGCAATTGGCAACTCTACTGATCAGCTGGTCAATATTGTTGACTAACAATCATAAGGACTGCATTGCGCAGTCACACTGTGTCAAATGAAATGAAAAAGTGTCTGAAAAATAACCATGAGCAACCTCTTACAATTTACTTCACCAATATACACAATTTCCTTTCCAATTGGCAGTTGTTTGCATATAAAAAAGTAGCATTTAACATGAGATTGTCTGCACATCCCTCCAGGGGGTTTCAATAAAAATTGAGGTAGTAAGCAGGTTTGAAAAAAGTAACAGACTGTATCAAGAAAAGGCTTTTAGTCCCCAAGGTTGTTCTAGAGGGGTCTGAGGGGCGTGCTTCCCTAGAAAATTTCAATGCCCTAAAGTGCAGTTTCCAGTGTTCTAGGCACTAAATTGAGTACAAAAGATCTTTTCGATCAGTTTGGAAAAGTAAAGTACAGTAAGCCCCAAACTTTTCTTAAATAGTAATTATTTTAAATCTGGAGCCAAAGGTCTATCTACAGCAAATTGAATTGTAATTTAAGTTTTGATGGAATCATTTTGAATTTAATACTTTATTTTATAATTGTGCATAGAACTTCACGAACACTTAATAAACAACCATACCCATATACCAATGAGACATGAGTAAGTTATATGAGGTAACTTAAGCAATAGACCACGCTTTCTATGGGTTTATCGGCATGATAACCCAGGCAGGATGTTGGGAGAACACGAGAAAAGCTTGTAAATCAAGAGCTGAAGGCAAGTGATTTACAAGCGTTTAGAGTGTTCTCCCAACATCCTAAGTGGGTTATCGCGCCGGTAAACCCATGGAAAGTGTGGTCTATTGCTTTTATAAAATAATTTGAAGTTCTTTATGAGTCTACCGGCACAATAAACCATTGTTTTTTAACCAATCAGAACACGCGTACTATCTTAGTTATTTTATAAAGTACACTAGAGGCATGCAAATATTAAATGGTAGCAATTACATAACATAAAACTTAATATAAAGGGATGAAAAAGATATTTCCTCTTAGATGCTAGTAAATAATATAGACAACAGAAGGGGAGCACGTATCTAAGCTTACTTCTATGTAATGAAAAATATCAGCAAAAATATCCTCTTCGCTTTTTCTAAAATGAGGATCATCGTCATTTGGGTGAGAACATGGGTGAATGATGCCGTTCATGTCCAGGTAAAGATTGTCAAAATCAGGAATCTGAAAAAATTAAACCAAGTTACACAATATAAGCTAAGGAAACACAAGCTCGATCTGAGTAGATTTTTCATACAAAAACTTGATCTTACTCAGCTACCTTATCAGCTTCAATCTCACCTGATGTTCTTGAATAACTTGACTCAGACATGGATATCGTTCACTAACCCACCTATAAAACTTTGGCACTCCCATCGTTATTAACCCTTAAACGACTCCTTTGAGTACGACAAAATTAAAATTAACTAAGAAAATCCTATTTGTTTAACAGCATTCAAGTTCGGTCACCAAAAAACACGACCAACAGAAACCACTGGTGTTCTTCTGAGCCCGCGCAATACCGCTGACAAATGTATCTCTCTTCACGTAAACGACATGAAAGGACCTTTGGAGCCTGTCGGGGGTACGAACGCACCCCGTGCACTCCCCTGGTTACGGGCCTGGGTTCTTAAGAACGTCTGCGTGAGAGGCTAACATGAGGGGGAACAAAGAAGAAACGGCTGAAGGAGGGAGTTTGACGAGCACGTTGAAGGAAACCATGATCAGACCTTTTTGGTGTCTCTTTAAAGATGATAATGAATTCATGGTGTCTGTGCCTGTATAAAGTCAATTTGGCAATACTGCTGTAGATAATGCCAGTTTTATTTTACGTTTTACTTCACTTTAATCGTAAAAAAACGTAATTCATTTAACTGAACACTTTTAATTCACGCATGTATTTTATGTAGCCAGCATTCGTTCAATCTCGTACCCAGAGTCTTCTGTCTTTTTGGTCAGCGGGGCAGAGATTGGCATTCGTTTAGACTTCCGCTAAAGGTGATGTTACACGAAACGATTCGCAACGACAATTTTTGACATTTTTAGGGTAACACAGCGTTGCAACATTGTTGCGGCATTGTTTCGAATGGTTATAACAATAGGGCCATTTATACGAGGAAAAATAAGACGCGAACTGTACCATTTATACGAGCATGTCTTATCTAATAAGACGCGTCTTAGCTAAGCCGTGTCTTATTTTAGACAAAATATGCCGTTTATACGGAAAGTTCGCGTCTTATTTAAGACGCGTCTTATTTTTCCTCTTATAAATGGCCCTATTGTTCCAACATTGCAGCGTTGTGTTGTGCTAAAAAACGTCGCTGCGAATCGTCTCGAGTAACATCACCTTAAGAATGAATGGAATACACAAAACGCAATTTGATCACGCGCGTTTTTACCTTCTACCCCTTGTAATTTTGACCATCTGTCAAGTGACCCTTACGCACCTCCAGTCGTTGTCGCCCGCGCGGACCGCACTCGTACTCCCTAACCTTTGGTCATTACTAGTCACCTTCATGATTATTTTACATCGAGTACTGCGGAGGCTCCTTACTGAGAACCACAATTTAGTCATTCAAACACCTTTGACAAATATAACTTAATTTCTATTTTTTAACAGTTTTATTTATTTGTTTATTTATTTACTTTAGTAAAGATATCCCTTAATTGTGTTGGTATGGCAACATAGCAGGTACCTGTCAGTCTCTTGTAATTCCTTACTGCTATTTTGGATTTTTCACACGTTTAACTCCACGTTTTTCTGCTAAGCGGAACTGTTTCACAGACAGCCCAGCCAAATGTTGTCACTTTCGTGCGAGAGGTTGGCGTTGTCTGATTTCCCTTGAGTGAAGGCTGTCAGGTGGACAGGGAGGGCTGTGGAGATGGTAGAAGCAGCTGTTATCATTTCTGCTGTGATTCTTAGCGTTATGGTGACCACCGGTTAGTCAATGGCACTTTGATTTGAACTGCTTCATGCTCTCTGATTTTTCACTTTTTTTTATCTGGAAGAAGTTTTTGGTCACGGTTTAATCATCCTCATCTGTTCCAATAAAATGTATGTTTTGTTATTAAAGGAGTGACGGAGATTCCAGACGATTTTACTGGTTCCTTCCAAGATCAGGTCACAGAAGATTTACAACAACGGATTTGTTCAAAACATAAACCACAGGTCAGTGATCATTTTCGAGTTGTTATAAAATGTCTATTAAGCTTCCGAAAAGTCCATTTTTTTTGTCTCTTATAATTACCATGGCCTAAAATTATTCTGAATCTCCTTTAACTTTCATTGTTTCAGTTTTTACCACGAACCTCAGTAAACACCACCAAGCGCTTGTCAGATTTAAGAAGCTTAATGCGTAAACAAGATGGTGGAATACAAGGTTACATTGTGCCTTCCACTGATGCCCACCAGGTACAACTGCTGTTTTATAATCAACTTAATCAAATTACATGCAGTGTTAACCCATAAACGCTAACAAAGCCTCAGATATAATTACTGGATAGAGTTTATCTGCGTTAATCCATCAATACACACCAGATATAATATTTACTGCTATTAATTGAAAATATGATGTATTTATCACTAGGTACTTATTGAGAACGCTCAGTGTTGTTGTAAACGTCTCCTATTGGAGATGGGACAGGGGCTATTTCTAATGACGGATATATATCCAAATCACAAGAAAGCCTAGCCATTTGCGTTGAATTTCGACAGTGCCTTCTTCCTCAATTATTTTGAGAAACTGAGGATTCATACGGTGACGGAAATCGAACCCGTCACAACCAAGCTGCGTGCCAAGCGTTATAGTGTAAACTGGGAAAGGACAAATATGGTGCCCAATTGCCCCCTTTTGCATGCAATGTTTATTCCTTCTCCCTTCAAATGCCTCCCAAACAGGCTAAGCAACACCCTTGTCTATAGACAAGCGCTTCACCTATAAGCATCAGTTTGTAAAATTAGTCGTTCGCGCCTCCGTGCACTGTAGCCGCTGTAGGCTCTTTCAAGGGTCATTTTGCCTTAGTTCATAAACGATTAATGTTGCTGTACCTTTATGAGACACTTACACTATTTTCCACAGACTGAAGATGTTGCACCTCAGCATCGAAGGAGGGAATTCATTTCGGGATTTAGGGGATCTCGCGGTACTATTTTGTTATCACTGTTGAAACTGTTTCTTATTATTAAAAAAAGAAAAGAGTTTTTCAGTATTTTCAATTTACAACAGATATGCATTTTAGGAACCGCCGTTATAACTAATAAGAAGGCTGCCTTGTGGACTGACGGAAGATACTTTGTGCAAGCAAACATGGAGCTTGATTGCAACTGGATATTACAAAAAGAAGGTAACATAGTTAGATTTTCTGTGATCACAGAACAAAAAATGTTAGACAAATTTTTACGAAAGCAAAAGCGAATTAAGCTTTCTTTAGCGCTTTTGGCGAAAGCAAAGAGTAGAAAGATGGTTCTGATCAAGATGGACCTAGACATGTCACCTCACAACATTGTAGCAAAAAGACAGTGTAGGCTCGGTTCAGGTGACGACAACTGGGCTTAAATTGCCACTGATGAAAAACGACATTTCCTTTACTACAAGAGAAAATTCTCTCTTGCTTTTCTAACTTATGTCTTATGCGGAGCTTTTAATAACACGTTGTAAGCCAAAAACTCGCCTACTGAAGCTTGCTTTAACCACTTTAGTGCATTCCAGTTATCAGGCTCGTGATAATGAAACTGTATAACTCGTCGCACAATTTTATATTAACACAGAAATGAAAGGAACTCCAAGCCTGGCCAAATGGATCAGTCAGGTGAGTGCGGTGCGTGTTCTTTCCGCTAAACGGACGTGCCACATGACTCTCCATAAGGTTAACTCTTTCCATTGAATTTGGAGGAGGTGGGCATTAGAATATAAAGTGCTTTAAGATATTAGAGACTAAAGAAAGTTTTTGAAAATTTGTCTTGAACGTTATACAAACCGACCTCAGTACAGAAAACTGAGGATTTAATTGATGAAGGATATTACGAATGTTGCGTATTTCAAAAACACGTTAATTTTCTGAAACTAGAAGTTAAAGCAGGCGAACAAGTCTTGGAGAAATCTCTCGAAAACTGCAAAAGGACTTAAATGTATGAGGGAAAAGTAAAAGCTAAAATGGCAAAGGTGCTAAGGGTTTGTTGTCCTGCTATGACCTCTTTTAATTCCGGGGACCACCTCAGCTTTCATTGTACCTATAAATCGATAAAACGCTTTGGTCGTCTATTGTTACGATAAGGTGTTGTTTCATTGAACGGAAGGAGGAGTTGAGGGTTGATTAACTGAAAGAGGGAGGGTGTATAGCGAATGTAAAATTTCCGCCCGCTTAATAATGGTGACATCCGTCGTGAATATTATTTCAGAACATTCCCAAAGGCTCCAAGGTTGGCGTGGATCCTTTTCTTTTCTCCATATGTAAGTTTAATTATGATATAATGAAACTTTTTTCAAAACTTTTAACTAAAAGTCATCGATTATCACTTACTTGTGAGGGGTCATTAGTAACACCGATAAACATCAATTTATCTCCTCCACAGTAGACGTTTACAATAACTTCTGTTGACTTAATTGCACGATACAGAAGAACTTAATGAATCCTTCTCACCTTAATCATTTTGAACCTCTCACTTTGGCTGGGTCGTAAATAGTTAAGTCAACAACTTTGGCGCCAATTACATTCAGCCTTTATTATTGTTCTTTCTACAGGTGAATGGGATCGTTTGTCCAAGGTAAAGTGAAGTGCTTTCTATGATGATGATCTACAGGTATAAATATTAGCGGAGCTCTCGCACGCCCAAAGCGCGCAAAAAGGAGCACCATGATGTAAGGCAATTTGGTTGTCTATGCATCCGAGGAGTCACGGTAGTAATGTGTCCGTACCAGGGCGGATAAAGGTTGGGCGGTGAAACGAGTGCGTCCGAGCAAAAAGGTGTGATGCAGTGGACTGGGACTCTGCTTAGAAATGTCGCTTGTTTTCGACTTCGGTCAGGGCTTGCGATGTGGTTTGTACATTAGACACTGCCGCTGTCACTGAATAGACCTTGTCACGGTTTTCGACGCCATCTTGACGAGTAGGCAAACGCGTGAGAAATTACAGTGTTTGTATGAGAATCTAATGTCGAATAATTTCCGTAAAACGGCTGTTCTGAACAAAATATCAATTGTAAACTAAAGCTACAAAGCAAAGGATTGTCCTAAAAAATTTGGGGGCGTACCTGTGCTTAAATTTCTCCAGAGGCTTACTTTAGATTTTCCATATATTTGTCTGTAATTTTCCCGGGACTTTCTTACAGACAAATGTATAGGAATTTTAAAAAGTGGTTCTAGGTCTTCTAGTGCATGTAACGCCCTCATNTATCCGCCCTGGGGCCCGTTTCTCGAAAGTCCCGATAATTAACGGGCCCGGTAAGCTGTCTCCGGTTACATTAAAGACCGAGGTTTCAATAGTTTTGCATCTAACAAGATAAAACTGTCAGTTAATGAAACAAAATGGAGTAGTTTGCTAGCCAGGACCCGCGCTCTTATTCTTTATATTTCGATTTGAATATTTGATTTCGGGCCCGTAAAGTTACCGGGACTTTCGAGAAACGGGCCCCTGGTCCGTACGCGCTCCGTCCGCACCACAGGAAAACCAATGTGAAATGACCTTTTTAAATCTGAGTGGAGCCTAGACGTACATGTTACGGTCATTTTGGCCACTGGGACTTTTATAGACACTAAACAGCAACAAAGCCGAGTCTCTTTTTCTCACTAGATTTGAATGTCTAGGCTGACGTGGATAACAGAGAAAGAGCTAGAGCGAGAGATAAAAAACATAGGAGACAAATGTCGTTAGAAACACAACATGAAAATTTAATAGCGGTGGTGAGAAGATGAGAAATGTTAGCGGCCAGTGAGGTCAAAATGAGCGGCAGTACGTGAAAAAGAAAGCCAACGGGAATACAATCAGCAAATTCTTTTTGTGAGAACATGCGACATTTCTTCCGTAGAACTAGAAATTGAAAGTTTCACGGTGTAGTCGCGCAACAACGACAAAGAAATGTACAAAAAAGTGTGCTGCACGTGCAAAGTTGTTTTTTGCTAATTACACCTATTGTTGTTGTTGACGACGACCACAACGACAACTTCAAAAAACAGTACAGGTTTAATGATCAAAACAACAGCTCTGCACGTGCATTTAGTACATTTCTTTAACGTCCACTGCACGACTACGACGTGTAACCTCTTAATTTGACGACTTGTGGAGGACGTGGACATACGACGACGGATTTTCCTTTCTCTTTTTGAAACTGAATAAAATCCTTAAGAATTCAACTCCAGGAAAAGTCGCCTGCATTTGGCATATTGAGCGGGTCCAAATAGACGCGATTAAGTTTGAAAGAAAGCAAATTCATTTTTTTTATCGACGTTGTGTGGTCCTTGCTTAAGGTCCCTAAATCCGTCGCCGTTTAGCACTACACGATTTTATTTTTGTGTGAGTAAATTCTAAGTATAGTAACGAGAGCTTCGCTTTTAGCCCTGGCTAAATTTATATGTTGCCATACTGAGATGCACGTTACGTCACCAGGAGCTCAAGAAACATCGTATACGTTTGATCCCTATCAAACAAAACCTCATTGACCTTATATGGAAGAGCGACCGACCCAAGCCGGTCCCGAAAAAGTTGATAGTCCTCGACTTAAAGTATTCAGGTAATAGAGCTGTTTTCAAGATTCCTGCATACTTAATAAAAGGGTAAACAGTTAAAGAGAACTTTAGAGTTAGACAGTGTCATCCTGATCTTTGCTATTTACCGAATTACTACACACTATCTGTTTTCAAGCAGCATATTCTACAGCTTGACCTAAATTCCCTGCTTACTGACGCTCAGTGCTCAAATTGCACTCTATGTAGTGCGTAATGAACACACTACTATTTTAACGAAGCTCATACGCACTTGTGAATAGTTTTTTTTAGAATTTAGCAATAGTATTACACACATGTAAAAATCTTATAAATTTATACTCTGTCTCTAGTCAATAATGATACACTTGTAAATAGTTTTATTAATTCGATTTTAGTGGTTGCAATAGTTGCTTATTCTAATTAATAGTGGTTCCTCTACTGCTGATTGATGGATTGATTTCATGTATTTTCACATTTTAGGTAAATGTTGGCAAGACAAAATCTCAGCTCTGCGTAAATTGCTTAAAGAAAGATCTTCAAATGCTGTTGTACTTCACAAACTGGATGAAATAGCATGTGAGTTTTGTTGGACTTGATGGGGATGCTTTGATGTTTATATTGAGGCGACGGAGAGGGGGGCACTTTTTTCTGTTTTATCAACTAACCAAACGGAAAAGTAAATATCTTTTGCTATTTTCCTCTCACTCGACAGGGTTATTTAACCTTCGTGGGTTTGACCTAAAATACTCGCCCGTCTTCTTTTCCTATGCTGTAGTTACAAACGCCGTTGTCATGTAAGTAAAGAAAACTACATATTTTATTCACCCGTTATCAAGATCAAACTTGGACTGATTAGAAAGTAGTATTAGCTAATCTAAGCGTGTCATTAAGTCATTTCTCAATAATCGGTACATACTGTACATTATTCTGACAATAACTTTCAGAATTTACTTTTCAGGCTGTTTGTAGACAATGCCAAAGTTACGTCACGTGTAAGGAAACATTTGAGAGTTGATCAGTGTCCAAAAGAGAAAGCGCTGTGTGTTTTGCTTAAACCGTACAACACTATAACAACGGAGGTCAAACGACTAGCTAAAAATAAACACGCCAAAATATGGGTAAGTCCGCTCAGTTTACCGTAGCCTGAAATTATCGTAATGGAGTTGGAAGAAGAACTTAATTAAAATTTTTTCCTGATCTGATGTGGGTAAAGATAAGCTTTTATATGTTTTTCTTTGTTTCGTACAGTACTTTCTGTACTTTGTATTTCGTACTTCGTACTCTTCCAATTTTAATCTCAGGTCAGCGTCATCATTTTTTTGTTAATCCACACAGCTTAGTACATCTTTAAGTCATGGGATACGAATGAATATTCTTAAGGTCAGTAATCTATAATTATTTGTCAGTAAGTTTTGTCACAGTTTATATTTCACACATCATTTTAAGAGGCCTAAGAACTGTTGAATCATGCAATTAAACATGCCAAGATCCGCATGTTTATTGTCTTTAACGTGCTATCACCCTCCACGAGAGCACTTTCACGCATTTTTTTTTCCATCAACTAAGAATAGTCGCGTACAGTAACGCGCTACTGAATAGAACTCTACACCGCCCTAACTACAATGTTGGACACTAACTGCAGTTTCTACCAGGTTTCGATAGAGTATCAAGTGGGCAGGGGAGGGGGGGGAGGTGCGAAATCCTGAAAGCATTTATCGCAAGATATCAGCGCTTTCTCAACTTCATGACATTGAATCGTGAAACTCGTTTGTGTGCGTTCACCTGTTCTTCACTTCTCGATCTATAGTCATTGAGAAAAATATGACAGTAAGGCTTTCCGCACCCTTTTTAAAGACGCATGGAAAGATACATCCCCTAGCAACAGCTATATATAAGACGATAGCTTTCGTATCAACTACCGTACGCCAAAATAAAAAATTTAAGCCAAATGACTTTAAGGGACATGTAAGCGAGACACAGTATAAGAATGCACGAAAAATTTTCAAAATAACCATGACATAAAAATCATATTTGAGAGGTCTTTTTATTGTACAGTGGAAACTCGATATAACGAGGGGCTAAGGGACTGGCAACTGAATTTATTTGCTATGACGAGGTTTTGTTATATCGAAGTTCTTTTTCATATATTTTACAGTCATGACTGGGGGAAAGAAAATGGCTCGTTAAACCGAGGACTTCGTTGTATTGAGCTTCCACTGTACTAAGTGGCATCCTCATTATTGTGGGTTCACAAAGTCGGATTGATAGTAAGCTAACATAATTATTTTCTTAGGATAAATTGTTTTTAGGTGAATCTCCAATTGCTTTGCCAAAAGCATTAAAGAACCCCACTGAAATAAATGGAATGAAAAATGCTAATGTAAGTATGGTTAAGTTTGGTATAGAAATCAGTTGAAGATTAAGTGTGATGTTATATGAGTGTCATATAATACCAATAGCAATAAAAAACATTGTTGATGCATTTTTACAAAACGGACAAATTATTAGAATATTAAAAAGCGAAACTCCGACCGCGACTTTATGTCGCGTTTCACGCTGCTATCCTATCACCATCGTGTATAAAAAAGGTTTTTTTAAAAACTTTTTTTTTAACTCGGCAAAATAAAAAAGATGGGTTGTTACCAGATGACAACTGTATGACGCAGAAGTAGTTTCTGAAGGATATAAAGTGGAGAAGAGAAGCACAACAAAACCAGTGATGTTATGTAATCAATTGCTTGAAGATAACAACGAGTGTAAGAGAGAAAAGCATGTTGTCCACCCTGCAGAAAGCTTCACTTGCGAAAACTTTATCACGTCAATTCACCCCTGATTTACTAACAGCAAGAGAGAATGAGATCATTCTCTCTTGCCAACAGTGATTTTGTAGTTACCGAATATCACCGTAATGTAAGTTCACTTAACGTCTTTCTTTGTGAATAATCCCATTTACACTGTGTGATGGGTTGATTTGTGGAAGCTTTTTTTCACTGAACCCACGTGATCATGACCACCGTGAGTCTCCAGAAAGAGTCCACTCTCACTGACCTGACAGTAATCACTTACGATGTACTCAAGTACATTCAACTGTGTTAGAAACTTTGTGGCGAGGTAATTTTCTTCCTTTCTGGTCTTCAGGTGAAAGATTCTGTTGCCATGTGTGAGTTCTTTGCTTGGACTGAACAAGAGGTACATTTTGGAAAACGCCTTTATCAACGGCAGTTGACTTGTTTGTGCAGATTTTTCATCATTTAAGTCGCCTTTTATTTAAGGTCATATCTGCATAATGGACTGGTACTGATGTTTCTCTCGTATTTCAGATTTTAAAGAATTCCACTCAGCTAACAGAATTAGTGGCGGAAACAAAGTTGTTATACTTTAAATCGTAAGAAGGGACATTATTATAGTGTGGATTTTTTATTTTTCATTTATTAATTTTTTTATTGTTTTGTCCGTAAGGATCTAACCGAGCTAATAAGCACTATATCGAAAACTGATCTCGGTCTACAACGGCCGCCTCAATCGATGGAATGAAAAGATTCGTGAATATTCAGCTAATACGCTTTCTTCCGTACTGCTCTTATTCTGTTGTGTGATTGGTCATTTTCTTTGTTGAAGGCGACAGGATAACTTCATAAGCCCGAGCTTTGCAACAATTGCTGGCTTTGGATCAAACAGTGCGATAATTCATTACAAGTAAGTGGTATATGAACGAAGTCTGGCTTCCGATATTCGAAAATACGATAAAGATTAATACCCAAAGCAAAATCTGTGGAAACTTTAATCATAGTTTTGTTATTTAGTATGGCTTTGGTTACTATTTAATTTGCGCCCTACCACTTTCTTTCTTTTTCTTTCTTCTTTTGCAGAGCTAATCGTTATACAAACGCCAAGATTAACAGTGATGGCGTTTTCCTGCTTGACAATGGTGGACAATACTTGTAAGGTTTGTTTCGTATAACTTTCCAGTCAGTGAACTAGGAAACATGTAACAAAGAAGTACATTTCAAAATGAGTGAAAATAGAATACTCTTTCACAAGAAACAAATAGCAGGTGAAAGCAGATTTCCACGTCAGGTATTCGGTGATTTGAAAAAAAAGTTTCCTTCGATTTGAAAAAAGGTCAGGCTTCGAGTAGTGACTACCCACATTAACCCCTTGCGTACCAGCTTTGTCTTGAATTGCTCGATAGAGGTGGGACGACAGATACGACACGGACTGTTCATTTTGGAGCCCCAAGCCAACATCAAAAGGTCAGTAAAATCACATTGCAACATACTATTAAGTACTTTTTATGTCGATCAAGCATTCCCCCCCCCCCTACACTCAGCATGAATCTAGCTACGCTCGTTATTTGTGTTTGCTCGACTCTTTGTCAAATAGTTCGTATTGAATGACTTGCTCTTGTTTGCTTAAAGGCGCGTTCAATCCACGGGGTTGGAATATGCTGTAGTTCACTCTTTCCTAGGCAGAGGCTCCCGCCCGCTGGGCCCGTGGGTATCCTGGAGATAAAAATAGCAATAATCGGATCCCGCGCGCTTTCCGCTTTTTCTTTCTTCCCAGCCTCCCTAGCTACGACACAAAGAAGCCTCCGGCGGCTACGGAGAGGGAGAGCTGTAGTTCATTTTTACCCCTGGTTTGAATCTAATTGTCCTTTGTTTTAAAGTCATTGAAATACAACACCATATCCAAAATCAAGGAAAATAAAATTTAATCCAAGGAAAAAAATGAAACCACAGCAAATACAGGCATGTATAGGTTGAACTCTAATTTTGAAAACATTTTTATCACACAGGATTGCTATACAAGGGTTTTAAAAGGTCACATTGACATCGCCAATGCAGTGTTCCCCAATGATACTTACGGTAAGAAACGCTGGTTAACTGTTTAAATTTTTTTATCGACTTCATGACCATTACCGATAATTTAAAGATAACAATCTTCCTGTAATAGTTGACCACTGAGTAATTCAGCGATTCTCACTAGTGTCAAAACACCACAACCTCCACCTTTCCGTCAGAAGATTAACATGGAAGGTCCTCTTGTTAATCGACACGCATGCAGCATAGCCTTCAGTCGCCGACCCAAAAACAACAGTTATTTGTTTTCACGTCAGGGGATAGTGCACTAACTGGGTTTCTTTGGGTTGTTGATGTCTTAATTCAATCCACTTGAACAACCCAAAAACCCAGTTAGGCATACTTATTGTTAACGTTTCATCATTTGACTTCTTTCGATGTTAAAGGAAGGACATTAGACGTGTTTGCAAGAGAACCTCTATGGAAAATAGGCCTGGACTATCGACATGGCACCGGACATGGAATAGGGCATTTTCTCAACGTACATGAAGGTACCAATACTCATCTAAGGGGCGGGAATGAAGGGTCACATGACTGGTCGCTTAATGTGCTAGATCTGACGAGATGGAACCCTTCAACTCATCCATCCCAGCTAAACATAGGCTTCTCAGCGCACCAGTTAGCCTTACCTTTCCTTCATCGAAAGTTACTTAAAAAATAGATGTAAAGGTTTCTGAGAAGCCTATGACATCTTCAGAGAAGGGTATACTTAAAGGCGCCACCCCAAAAATTACACTTGGTTTTAACAGTGCTCGTATTCCAGTGCTGTAAGCATGTAACGACGGTCAAACATTCAGTGTCGACGAAGGCGCTAAATATATTGGGTCGGTTATTTAAACGAAGTCCGCGGTTTAGCAAATCAAATCTGTGGACCTCCAGATATCTTCCTTAGCGAGTAATTTTAAGAAAATAAGTGCTTTTCCAGTCTACGCTTTGTTCTTTCATGAACCTTTTCACGATGAATGGTGTTAAGATAAAAGCATAAGGCAAACTGAAAATGGGTAAGAACGCGGTTTTGTTAAGCACTGTCTAAACTCCGTTTAAATAACTGGCCCATTGTGTTACTTAATTTTCAGGACCCCAGTGCATAGCTCCGGGATTCCCCATAGATGAAGAAAAGATTCTCATGCCCGGAATGATTCTTTCAGACGGTAAAAATAACTAACGAACTTAAGGAATAAATCAATAAATAAAGATTGTCCAAATTGTATAAGCATAATAATAATAATAATAATAATAATAATAATAATAATAATAATAATAATGATGATAATAATAATAATAATAATAATTATTAGTAAATAATAGACAATTTTATTAAAAAACTATTAAAATCCTATTTACAATTACTTCGCTTAAAAAAAAGAAAAAACTATTCATTCAAAAACACTATTTACAATTTCTGTCGATTTAAAAAGAACTCAATTTAGCTTTAAAAAAAAGTTAATTAAAACTAGGAAAAATTTTTTCGAATTAAAAAACATTTCATTTCAATAAAAGAAAACTGTCAACCTCTAAAATTCAAAAGTTTCTTTCAACTGCTAAAAAACAAAAACAAAAAAATAGTAATAATAATAATGAAATAAAAAGATATATATGAAGTAAGGAAACACATCAATAGTCCGATTAATAATAATAATAACAATAATAATAATAACAATAATAATAATAATAATAATAATAATAATAATAATGCTTTTATTTAACGAGGGTAACACTAAATAGCCCAAGGCTAATAAACTTGTGTCCCTCAAAACACAATCTGGACGCACGATTTTGTTTAGCGGAGCAGCCTGCCTTCGTTACTGACTATAGATACATATTTTTTCCCTTAAGGGCTTGTTAAAATGGTAAATCGTACCTTGACAGGGAACTAAAATGTTATATGAGGCCCGCAATGGCTTAGTCACTTGATTCTCTGGTTCTCATGTAATGTTGCTAGGATATTACAAGCTGGAAAGTTGGGAAACTAAAGCAAAAAAATTAGGGCTGTGCCGTGATAGCGTGTAATTATTATCACTTAGAACCTGGATATTATGAAGACGGCAAGTTTGGAATCCGCCTTGAAACAGCTGTACTTGTACAAGTGGCAAACACAAAGGTCAGTAGCAGGCTTTCATAAATATTTTCTTTTCACTGATCGGAATAATTTATCCTGTATTGATCAGCGGCAATAACTAATTTATTTCAATTCTTTCAATCTTTCTACGCAGTATCATTTTGATGGACATGACTATCTGAAGTTTGAGCCGGTTACTTACGTAAGTATAGTTCATCGACCACCTTCCATTA